GTGAGTTCTATGTTGGACATGTTTATAATGAATTACCTCCAAGAGAAGATGCACAAATATATTTAAACGTGACTTTGAAAAATAGAAAAAGGGAAAACTCAGACACAGAATTATGTATTTTGGAGTTATCAGTGAATAACTGACAGTAGAAGCCATAGGACTAAATAAGATCACTTAAGAGTATAAAGCAGGAAGTTTAGAAGTATGATAACAGAATATATTTAATACTAAAATAAAGTGATGAACCAAATAATAGTTTACAAGGGTAATATTAGAGTTAGAAGGAGAAACAAGAAACAGTAAGGTTATAGAAGTCAAAGGAGATTTTTCTGGGCCAGGTCTGAAGCAATGAATGTAATTTCTGCCTGTATTCCATTAGCCAGAACTCGGTCACATTACCCTCTTGAATGTGAATGCAAGGTCCCTGGCAAAGTAGCCACTTCACCACAGCTCTTGACCGTGCTAAGGAGCACAAATCTTTTGTAGGCAGCTACCTATCTCTGCCCCATAATGCTGGTCTCACTGGGTCTCCCTAAGTAATTCTCCACATTTACCTCTATAACAGACATTTTACAGCAGCAAACATTATTTCAGTCCAAATTATGAGATAAATAAGATAGGCTTTAGATTGCAAGCAGTTCTTTGCCAGCTGGCTATGACTATATCACTTTATTACATCTGAGCACCACACAGAGGAATATCAGAACACTTCGGTGTTATTTCTCTGAAACACCAAAGTGTTGTATATCAAGTTTGTCATTCCAGGAGCTAATGAAATCTGTATGACTACACATTAGTGTCTACGACTAGAACAATGGAGAAAACATCCATGCTAGAAATGTTTGATTCCATCTGTTAGCATGTTTCAGTGCTACAAATAGAAACTTTAAGGCTTGCTATCTCCCTGGGGTGGCTAAGTGAAAATCTATTAGAAAAACAAACATAGTGTCATTATATGTTTTGTATAAAACAAGTTATTCAACTTCCAGACTGTTAAATGTGCGGTGGTGGAAGGAGGGTGATTCTTGCTTTAGAAAAAGTTTTTTTCTTCTAAGAGACCTCATAACTCTCAACTTTCAAGGTCTAGGGAAATAGGGTTGTCATGCAAGTGTAGCTCCTCACTGCCTTGTTGTAATCCACAGTTGTCCAAGGGTGAGTGTCACTTGTCTCCAGTAATCCATATGGAGGAGCTAAAAATGAGAATGGAGATAGGATCTACCCTCTACTATTCTGGATACTTCCTCTCTGCCTTTTGTCAGAGCACTGTATATATCCAGGACAGGGGACCAGGGACAATGCTGGGAAGAATCTTCAACTCTGACCTAAGGCTAGAGCAGCCGTGGGCAAACTACAGCCAGCAGCCGGATCCATTTATGTAATGATGTTTACTTTGAATTTATATTAGTTCACACAAACACTCCATCCATGCTTTGTTCCGGCCCTCCGGTCCAGTTTAAGAACCCATTGTGGCCCTCAAGTCAAAAAGTTTGCCCACCCCTGGGCTAGGGGGAGAAAATAGAAACAAAATCACAGGCTAAAAGAAAACTAATTAAGAGGCTGCTGGTGATCTTAGAGAATAGTAAGACTAGAAGTCAAAAGGAAGGGAGTTCAGGAGTAAGAAACTGATAAGAAAAATACAAATAAATATAGACAGATGTAGTGTAACACATTCGGGCCATAGGTTAGCCAGTGGCACCATATTTTATCAGAACAGTAAGGCACACATGGAAATGCCAGCATATATTATAAATTGCTTTTACCCTTGTGTCCTGAACACCGTAAGCTTTGAGTTCAATGAACTGATCGGAGTCATTCTCTTATAAGTAATGTAATTTGCTTATATCCAAAAAAAAAAAAAAGAATTACATTGTCTCCTTCATCTTTCTCTTGGCCTATATTGCTGGTTGTTTCTCCTGTGTGCCTGATGAGCAACAACAAAGCAAGCTCTATTAGATGAAATGCAAACGTCTTACCAGGATTTCTTAGTTATGGTAGTAAAATGAAGGCACTAGGGCAGGGGTCCTCAAACTTTTTAAACAGGGGGCCAGTTCATTGTCCCTCAGACTGTTGGAGGGCCAGACTATAGTTTAAAAAAAAACTATGAACAAATTCCTATGCACACTGCACATATCTTATTTTGAAGTAAAAAAACAAAATGGGAACAAATACAATATTTGTATTTGCATGTGGCCCGCGGGCCGTAGTTTGAGGACCCCTGCACTAGGGCAAAGTCAATTTTGTGTCTAACTGAAATTCATTTTCTTGTCAAATATGAACTTTTTTCCCCCTTAATTCTGATAAGCCTGGATTTTCATTAGAATGCTTCAGGCATAGGTGGGGGATCAGAGGCCTGTATTCAGGAGTTCTAGTCACTATGTACAGCTAGGGATGAGTTATTTAAAGTAATAATTCTTACATCAGGGAGGGTACTGATGGTTCCATGAAGGCTATCCTTGTCTGAGATATTCTCTCAATTAAATAACTTCCCTGCCATTGTGGTTCATCTCATCCAATCAGATAACCACTAGAATTTGGAAATTCTATGAAGCTCAAGATTAGAACATGGTAAAATTATTTTTTAATCTTATTAGAATGAAATCTCCATGAGATGACTCCTGTAAGATGGGAACTCTCCCACCCCCTGTTCTTTACTGAAACTTAACAAAACAAAAACCAAGAAATAAAGACCATGTTTGTTTTAAACTTCAGTGTGAGATATCTTAAATGTTAAACCTGGCAGAGTAGCCAGTGTTCAATGTGAGGGAATATCATCCAGTAGACATCTGGGCTTCCTCTCAAGGAAGTGTTACCAACAAAATTCACTTGCTACTTTTTTCCTTCTGTTGGATTAATTCACTGGATTTGAAATTGAAATTGGGTTCATTTCCCTTTTCTATGACACTTCAAATGAAAGGAATAGAAGAATTGTGTTACCAGTGGCATTAGGACTCTGCTGGCCACTAACCTGGTGGGGAGTAGAGAGTTACTTAAAGTAATACAGTTCCACAGAATTTTGTGTCCACAGAGCTAGAGCCAGTGTGGCAAGAAGGCACATCCCAAAGGCGATCAAGTGTCCTTTCTTTAATGCCCAGTTTTCTTTTGCTTTCAAAAAAATTTATGGGAAATTTTTATATGCAATACTAGAGGCCCGGTGCATGAAAATTCATGCACTGGAGGGGGTGTCCCTTAGCCCAGCCTGCCTCCTCTCACAGTCTGGGAGCCCTCAGGGGCAGGAGGTGACCCGGTGATCAGGGGAAGGTGATGCCCCATCACACCTCTGCTGCTGCCACTGCCAGCAGCGCAAGCCTCAGCTGGCCCTGGTTACCTGAACCTCGGGCGGCCCAGGGTGGCTGGGCAGCCGACATCCGAGGCTTGCCTGCACCTCGGGCCGGCCCTCGGCAACTGGGGGGCCTACGGGGACTGGGGAACTCCGGAGGCAGGTGCGCAGAGCGGCTGGGCCCACCTGGGGGCGGGCCCAGCCTTGCCACGTGCCTGCCACCCCAGCGGGGCTGAGGGGACTGGGTGCCGCCATCTTGTGGCTGTGGGCACCGCCACCTTTGAGGGCATAGCAGTCAATTAGCATATTCTCTCCTTATTGGCTGTGGGCACTGCCATCTTTTGAGGGTGGGACAGCAATTAGCATATTCCCTCCTTATTGGCTGTGGGTGCTGCCATCTTTGTGACAGCATAAGGGTCAATTAGCATATTCCCTCTTTATTAGATAGGATATTATGCTAGGTGCTTTGAAGAATATAAATCACTCAGAATTTCTGTCATAAATGTAAACAGAAACACACACACATAACCCTCAATATATACACATGCATACACCCATACCTATTCATACATACATTCACACTTTAAGGAGTATTTCATTAGGATGCTTTGAGCTAGAAGAAATAGAAAATTCTAACTCAAATGGATTAAATAATAAATTTTTAGATACTTTATATAACAAGAAATCCAAAATTAGGGCAGCTCCTAATGCTGTACAGTCAGGGCTCAGGTGCTATATTTCTGCAATTCTCTTAGCTTAATTCTTCTTTTGGCTTTGTCTTAGGGTAGCTGCCACATGATTACAAGAGGGTCACAATAGTTCTGGGCTACAGAAGCAGATAACACAACATGCAGAGGCAGAAAAGGGGTTTTCTCTTTCATAACAGAGTGGGAATCTGTTAATAAGGAGATAAGGAGGAATGGATGCCATCAGGAAACCTATAGTCTAGTAGAGGAAAGGGTATGTGGAAGTGTGGTAGATACTGTATAAGACTCCGGAGGCAGGCGCACGGAGCGGCCGGGCCCACCTGGGGGCGGGCCCAGCCTTGCCACGTGCCTGCCGCCCCAGCGGGGCTTTATATATATACTATATAAAGTATATATAATGGTAGTTCCAAAGAAAAACTATCCCTTTTCCTCTACTGGAAGGAAAGGGAAGATAGCTGCTGACCAGAGAATACTTCACTTGGGGAAGAGGTTGTTAATCTAGTTTGAATTTGAGATACTCTGGGACCTCCAGGTGCAGAAATCCAATAGACAGTTGGATGTATACTGACCTATGGCTGAGAAGTCTAACTAGAGAAAAGGATACAGGATGCAGGTGGTGGTGAAGGCCCTGAGGATGGAAGAGCTAATTCAGAGGACAGACCAGGACCGAAAATGAGACCCTGAGGAACACTGACATTTAAAGCATGGGTGAAATAAAGGAGTTGACAGAGACAAAAAATAAAAATGAAAATCTTTTCATGCCATCTGTGTGTGGGATGGGTGTAAGCTAACTAGAAATGACATTTTGTGATACTCACACGTGTGATTTGGGTAAAGGACTGGTAAAAGCTAGGAACCTTTCAATACTTATTCTTTGCCCAGTTGCAGTTGTCCTTCCCTAAGAAATTGGTTGAATGAGACAGAATCTTGGAGGTTTGGCTAGACCTGAACAATCCTCCACCCAAAGCAGAATTGGTACATTAACATTTCTAAAATGAGTCTCTTTTTCTTTGCAGGAGTGGTCACACATTACTTGCCTTCTGGTTTTCCCGCCAAGAGGGAAAACTAAACCGACAGCAGACTATTGAACTGGGACATCACATCCTCAAAGCACACATTTTTAAGGTAACTAGAGAAGTTGGAGGCTTTTTTCTTTCCATCTCCAGCAGGCTTTCCTTAACAGTATTTTTAAAGCTACTGTTATTTCAGTAAAGTCCTTGCTTTCTGAAATTATTTTGTTGCAAAGCCAGTCCATGTCCTGAAAAGTATGGCTGTTCCTCCCTAGGCATTTGGAAAGAAAACCTCATTTGTCATCTCCAGCTTAGCGGACTGCTAGGCTTTCCAGGAAATGGACATGTATTATCATTCAGCTGAGAAGCATATAGATGTATATTCAATATATGACCTACAATCTCCTGAGGACAGTCATGTTGTAGCAGTTAGTTGCAGATTTTCACAATATCTAAAAAAAATCACTGAGAGCACTCTTTCAATTTTCTTATACATCTTTTTTTAAAATTGTATTTTATTGATTTAAGAGAGGGAGAGAGAGAAACATCAACCTATTGTTCCATTTATTAAGGCATTCATTGGTTGATTCTTGTATGGGCCCTGACCAGGGATTAAACCCGCAACTTTGGCCTATCAGGACAACACTCTAACCAACTGAACTTCCTGACCAGGGCCTCGTTTCTTAGTGAAGATTTCAATTCTCTTAGTGAAGATTTTAATATTTCTAGTGTTGTGATGTTCCAAGTACCTGGAACCATTTTCTCTTCAAATTATAATCCCAATTTGTCTCCCGGTGGTTTCAAAATTTTTAAGTACTCTATAGCATCAGCTCCCATCTCTCCACATTCACAAGGCTGGAATGGAGGACCCAGAGGAGGGCATATCATTCACTGTTTGTGCACGAATGCATTTGTTTACTCAGCGCTTACTGAGTCATTGTCGGTACTAGTGCTGGAAAAACAAGAAAGATACAGACCCTAATCTCAAGGAATTTTTAGTGTTGATACCAGTATAAGGTAAAAACACAAAGGTCAAGGAAGAAATGTTCTGATTTTTCTAGCCCACAGTTTGCTGGAAGTCTGCTACTTCCCATCTTTACAGTCTCTTCAGACTGCTTTTCCTGGCTCAGGGTTGAGATACAGGTATCTTTTATTTTCTTTAATATATATTTTATTGATTTTTTTACAGACAGGAAGGGAGAGGGATAGAGAGTTAGAAACATCGATGAGAGAGAAACATCGATCAGCTGCCTCTTGCACACCCCCTACTGAGGATGTGCCCGCAACCAAGGTACATGCCCTTGACTGGAATCGAACCTGGGACCCTTGAGTCCGCAGGCCAACGCTCTATCCACTGAGCCAAACCGGTTAGGGCGGATACAGGTATCTTAAACAGGTCTCTGGGTTGGACTTCCTCCAGGAGATACTGTTAAAGATAAATCAGTTCTCTTCAGAGAGAAAGATGGCAGTAAGGACAATTCAAAGAGCCTAGCAAATCTTCCCCATATGTAAGCACACAGCCAGAGAAGCCATTCATCAGATAGACAGATGTGAACCCACAGTGACAGGTCCTTTATTTGAATCATAATTTTCTTCTCTGAAAAATCACTGTACTAAAAAAAAAAAAATTATCTTACCCAATGATAAGTAGGAGAAGAATGGGACTAAAATAACAGGCAAGGTGGCTTCTTCCTGTTTCAAATGGGCCAAAAAGTATCTGCTGCCCTAACCGGTTTGGCTCAGTGGATAGAGCGTCGGCCTGCGGACTGAAGGGTCCCAGGTTCGATTCCGGTCAAGGGCATGTACCTTGGTTGCGGGCACATCCCCAGTAGGGGGTGTGCAGGAGGCAGCTGATCGATGTTTCTCTCTCATCGATGTTTCTAACTCTCTATCCCTCTCCCTTTCTCTCTCTAAAAAAATCAATAAAATATATATTTTTTTTAAAAAAGTATCTGCTACTTTGAGAAATTCTGGCATAATTATCCTTCAGTTAGATAGGAAATTTAACTTTTAAGCATCACCACTTTGAACTCTAAAGCTTTTAGCATCACTGTCTGCCTAGGATCAGATGCAAAACAATTTATGCTTGTCTTTTCTGTACCATAAAATGAACACCACATTAACAGGTAAATGGTAAGTTTTATTTGACCCACTGTGACTGTATCCAGTGCATGGAGACCTACATTTTAACCATACACCCATCATTGACACAGTTTTATCTTATGTTGCTACAGACAACATGGTTGCCTGAGATAAGAGTGGCTCCCTGTGTGATTCAAGCCATAAATACTTGGGTGTACAGCATAGGTGCTGACATGCCTGCAAGTAGAAGAATATAGACTTGGACTACGGTTTTCCTGATGCTGCACTTTTAGGATCTTTTAAATGCAGAGTCCTCCCTGTTGATAGCCTTTGGCTTCCCCCAGACTGCCAGAATTCTCAGTGCCCATCAGCTGAAGGTCATGAAAAGGCAAAAATAGACTCTATGCTTATACCCTGTACCACTTAGAACAGGGGTCCTCAAACTTTTTAAACAGGGGGCCAGTTCACTGTCCCTCAGACCGTTGGAGGGCCGGACTATAGTTTTTAAAAAAAACTATGAACAAATTCCTATGCATACTGCACATATCTTATTTTGAAGTAAAAAAACAAAACGGGAACAAATACTATATTTGTATTTGCATGTGGCCCGCAGGCCGTAGTTTGAGGACCCCTGACTTAGAACCTCTAATCAGCAGTGACATGTAGCCCAATTTATATTTCTTTCCAGTTAATTTTAAATTTCCCTTATTTTATCTTTGTGAAAAAGTACATACCATGTCATTAATCACTGTAAAAATCTGAGGTTGTGGGTCTGTAATTCTGGAAATTAGGCTGGCTATGGAGCCCTTTTCATTCTTTTTGCCTCTAACAACTTTATTGGGGTCTAATTTATGTATCATAAAATTCACCCATTTTACTCATACAAGTCAATGACAATTAGTGTAATTAGAGTCATGTAACTATCGCCACTATTAGTACCTTTACATTACCCTAGAAATAATCTTTGTGCCCATTTGAAGGTACTCTACATCTACATTCTCTCTATAGATTTGACTTTTCTGGACATTTCCTATAAATGAAATCATACAGTATGTGGTCTTTTGTGTGTGGCTTCTTCACTTAGTGAGATGTTTTCAGGGTTCATCCATGTTGTAGCCTGTATCAATACTTGATTAATTCTTACTGCCATATAATCCATATTGTTTATTCATTCACTAGTTGGACATTCAGGATGTTTCTATTTTTTGACTATTATAAATAATACTGCTATGAACATTAGTGTACAGATATTCCCCCTTTTAGTTTTTTTTTTTAATAAAATTAGCCATTTTATAGTGAACAACTCAGTGGCACTGAGTACATTTACAATGTCAGTGTTCAGGTTTTTGTATGGATATGTCTTCACTTCTCTTGGAAATAGACCTAGAAGAGGGATTGCCAGTCTGTTTTTCAAAGTGGCTGTACTTTTTCACAATCCCACCAGCAATGTATGAGTGTTCCAGTTTTTTTAAACCTTTGCCAGTACTTGTTAGACATTGTCTTACCTTTTCTTTATATTAAGAAAATCATATGCACTATGCCACAAAATATAATTTGGCCATATTGGTGGATATGAAGTAGTATCTTACTGTGATTTTAATTTGTATTTCCCTAATGACCAATGATATTAAGCACTTACAGTTCTTTTATCATCCTCTCATTGCTATTTAGATTTTTTTCTTTTTAATCTATGAAAAGAAAGCAGGATGTTTGTGAATTGTGGCCAGAAATATTTCAATCTAATTTGTGATGCAGGGTGTTCCACTGATTTGGGTCTATTCACTGGAAGGATTTTGGAATGCTCTTACATTAGCTCCCTAAATGCTGCCTTCTAAAATGTTCCTTGGATTTGTCAGTCCTATAGCATTCCTTACCAGAACAGAACTATTGGCCAGGAGGAAAGTGTAGACATCTAGAGCAGCGGTTGCCAACGTTTTGGACCTCGCGGACCACCAGTGATCCGAGGACCACCGGTTGGCAACTGCTGTTCTAAAGGGTAGAAGATCCTTTGACATCAATCAAAAGGCATGGTTTCAAGTACAGAACCCATTTACCTTAAGCAGTCTCAATTTTCTCATCTATAAAATGGTAAAAATATCTGTCAGGTTGTTATAAGGAGCATACAATAAAATACATAAGGTACATAATAAAATGCAAATACATGATATATACTAGACATATATCTAATACAAGGTTATATGACTCAAATTACTAATAAAAATCTCCTGACAATAAGACTTAATCATAAGCACAAATTTTATATGGTAATATCACCCTTACACTTCAGAGGTTACTTAGCATCCTCTACAGCAGTGATTGGCAAATATGGCTTTGTACTTCATAGAGTCTCTCTTGAAACCACTTAACTCTGTCATTGTAGCTCAAAAGCAGCCAGAGACAATACAGAAATGAATGGGTGGGTGTCCTTGTCCTTGTGTTCTTACAAAACATGATTCATAAAAACTGGTGGAAGGCGGAATTTGGCCTTGGGCCATATTTTGCCAACCCCTTTTCTACAATGAAAGACATCATCTCCTTTGTTTACCAGGATCCTTTTATTATAACCAAACATGGCTATTTGGGTGGTGGATAAAAAGGGTAATAATCCATTTGAGATCTTTGAATAGCTACTAGTGGGTTATTGGCAATATACTTGTAAATAATTTGCCTTAAAGAAACTCATTAAATAACCCCCCAAGGTTAGTTTTTGCCATGATCTTAAGATACCTGAGCCATAGTTAAGATCCCTAAGATGAGATTGCTCTGGCTTCGTCATGCTTTCTCTTTCTTCGGGAAGTATTCAAAAATACTGAGCAAGTTTCCTATCAGCTACTAAAGTGCTATAAATTTAGATTCTAACAAATATTTAAGAAAGGGACTCCATTGCCATTCATCTCTGACAAAACGAGATCCCTTCTTGCCTGAGCAATAGTTATAGATACTGAAAAGACCTTTTTCTAGTTGTCTGAACCTTAAGGTCTCTTTAAGAATCCATCAGCTTAGAATTATGTGAGCTTTTCGCTACCTCCTGCCTGGTAATGGGATCTGCCTGTCACCTTTGTCAACTTGAGTTTAACTAAACTGAACTCTTCGGAACAAAGGGTCAACCCCATCAAGCAGAAGAAATCAGTAGACCAGCAAGTCTGTAGTACAAGTAAAACTTATACCACAAATCCTAGAATCTAGCTCTATATTTCAGACTTATTTCCTAGGTATTTATTCCAGCCTCACTGGGACTCTGAGTGTTGCTTTGTGGTCTCTTTACTGGACCATTTAATTGAAGTTCATTTACCAACTCCTTTTCCCATTTTTTCTCCTCGAGCTCTTAACCAAGTCAAATAACTAAACAAACAGCCTGAGTTATGAGTCACTAAAAAAATAAAGCGATCGAGTGTGACTTCTTTAACTATTCTCCTCATCTCACTAGTAAATCAGTCTATATCATTATCAATTCTTACCTTTTTCTCATCTTAGGGGACAAGATGTCCCTGTTCCTATTTTTTTTTTATTATGAAATATATCTAACACATAAGAAAGCAAAGGTAATTGAATAATCAAATACTATACCATTTTTAACAGGTGTTAAGATTTGTCCATGTTTGCTTCAAGTCTTTTTCTTTATGTTTAAGAAACAAGTACAGAAGAAGTCCCCTTTGTATCCTTCTCTTACCCCATTTCTCTCCCTTCTCAGAGATGATTTCTACCCTTGAGTTATTATGTGTTCTTCTCATCCATAATTTGTACTTTTCCAACATAGATATATATTCATAAACAGTATACAGAATTATTTCATGATTTTTAAACCTGGCATAAATAGTATCACAGTCGTTATATAATTCTATGTATATTTGCGATTTATCAAGAGATCTAGATCAATGGTTTTCAACTTGTGTATACAGTAGTCCTCCTCTATCCTAAGGGGATACATCCCAAGACCCCCACAGAGCTTCTTCATCAGTGAATGTAGCCTCTCCAGTAATTTTTATATTTTTTAGTCCAAATCTCTTTCTGAATTTGTGTAACTGTCCTTCACTTGTGGTAAATGGCTAGATGTCACTTGTTTCAGGGGATGCCTTGTGGAAGTTTTCATACAGGCTTCATGCTTTCTGGTGTAACTTGTTGCTGTCTGTTCATGTTTTCCACCCACAAATTTAATGTCCTTTCTATCTTAACTAAGCACTTACATACACTGGGGTCATAACTTTTGCAGTTGAAGGTTCACAACTAGCACTGTTTCATTTTTCTTGTTCACAATTTCACACAAAAGAGATTTGTCCTTGCCCTAGCTGGTTTTGCTCAGTGGATAGAGCGTCGCCCTGCTGACTAAAGGGTCCCAGGTTCAATTCCGGCCAAGGACACATGCCTGGGTTGTGGGCTCGATCCCCAGTAGGGGGCGTGCAGGAGGCAGCCGATCAATGATTCTCTCTGATCATTGATGTTTCTATCTCTCTATCCCTCTCCCTTCCTCTCTAAAATCAATTTAAAATATATATATATATTTAAAAAAAAAAAAAAAAGATTTGTCCTTACTGTAGAGATTAACAACTTCAGCATACTTTTTATTTTCTTAAGTCAAGAACTTTCACCTTTACACTTAAAGGGGAAGCACTTTACAGCTTCTCTGTGATGTGTTTGAATCACCAGCATCCCTACTCTTGTGCCTTGAGGCCATTATTAAGTAAAATAAGGGTTACTTGAACACAGCACTGCAATACCACCACAGTCAATCTGATAACTGTGGCAGCTACTAACATGACTACTGGGCAGGTAGTGCATACAGCGTGGATACACTGGGCAGAGGGATGATTCATATCCCAGCAAGATGGAGCAGGACTGCAAGATATCATCATGCTACTAAGAATGATGCACAATTTAAAACATGAATTGTTTATTTCTGGAATTTTCCATTTAATATTTTCAGACTGCAGTTGATGAGAAGTAACTGAAACCACAGTAAACAAAACCACGAATAAGGGGGGGACTACTGAACGTTAGATTCTCCTGGGGAACTTTAAGCACATACACATATTTCTTACTCCCAGAGACCATTATTCATTATTCTGGAGTATAACCCAGGCTTCTGTTTTTTAATTGGTACGTTTTATTTCTTAGAGCATTTTTAGGTTTACAGAGAATACAGTTGGTTCTCATATACTCACTCCCCCCCCTCCCCCACGTTTTCCCTATTATTAAAATCTTGCACTGGTGTGGGACATTTGTTATAGTTGATGAGCCTGTATTGACATATTAACTAAAGTCCATAGTTTACATTAGGATTCATTGTGTATGTTCTATAGTTCTATGGATTTTGCCAAACGTGTAATATCATGTATCTACCATTACAATATCATACAGAATAGTTTCACCTACTCATAAATTCCAAAGCTATCAAAAGCACTCCTAGGTAACTCTGTGGAATTGGCAGGCACACCCATTGGGGAAGCAGCTCTGATGAAGCCCAACTGTTCTGGGCTTCATTCTATCCTAAATCTTTGGCCCAGCAATTCTTCAACTTGTAGTCCTTCCATGTCTTCAAGGAGGATGTGTTTTAAATTTTGTACAGCTTTGCCCTAACTGGCTTGGCTCAGTGGATAGAGCGTCAGCCTGCAGACTGAAGGTTCCCAGGTTCGATTCCGGCCAAGGGCACTTGCCTGGGTTGCAGGCTCAATCTCTAGTGGGGTGCATGCAGGAGGCAGCCCATCAATGATTCTTTCTCATCATTGATGTTTCTATCTCTCTCTCCTTCTCCCTTCCTCTCTGAAACCAATAAAGAAATATATTAAATTTTGTACAGCTTTTCCAGTTGTCCTTTGCAGGAATGTTTGTCCAAATTACCTAGATCAACCATTACCAGAAGTGGAAATCCACCCAAGTTCCCCTGAGCAAAAATTACGACACAACGTTCTGGGAACATCCAGCTTTACTCTAAACAGCTTAGGGTTTCTCATTTAAAATGTACTTGGTGCCCTGAATGACTGAAACTATCCTGGGTATCACGTAGAAAAAAAGGGTAATTTACATTCAAGGGTAATTTAAATTCAAGACTTAATAGGTCCTAAGCAGAGGAGAGAGTGCTACATCTTTCAGAGAAGCTAAATACACGTTGCTGATTTGAACATAAATAGAAGAATGTGCATTTCAAGGCATAAAGCAAGCAGAAGTAGCTTAAGTTTTTAAAAAGAATGCCTCCCCAGATCCACTTATTAGATCTCAAACTTCATTGTTAATATCTTTCTGCCCTTGGGATTTCCTGCTTTAACTCCTCACTTGACCCAGATACTGGCGGAATGGTAAGATGACTGTGAAAGAGTCTTGCCCTAACAACAGAAAATTTAAAACACAACTTATTCTAACTTCCTTTTGGAGAAGCCCACATGAAAGGGGCAAACATTAGTACATGCCATGGGAACTAGGCCAGCCATACAAGAGAAAATTTGTTACTGATGGCAGTCAACCTATGTTGTTTTCCTGCGGGTGAACAGACATGATCAGTGCACTGTGTATCAGGGTGAGGAATGCTAGCTACTGTAATAAACCTACAAAATCTCAATGACTAAACAAAGGTTCATTTCTCATTTACATTGCAATTCAGTACAGATCCTTGGACAGGCTTCTTCCACTTAGTAGTAAAATCTCCAAGGACCTCAGAATCCTCCATTCAAGAAGAACAATAGAAAGTGTGGGGAGGCCCTGGCGGGTATGGTTCAATGGTTGAGCATCAACCCATGCACCAAGAGATCATTGGTTCGATTCCCAGTCAGGGCACATGCCTGGGTTTCGGGCTTGATCTCCAACATGGGGCATGCAGGTGCAGCCAATTAATGTTGATGTTTCTCTGTCATCAGTGTTTCTATCTCTCCCTCCCCCCACCCCTCTCTCAATTAAAAAAAATTTTTTTAAAGAAAAAGAAAGTGTGGAGAAATGCACAGGAAGTTTGGGTCCAAGCCTGGACATGATATATTACTTCTGCCCATATTTTATTTGCCAGAAATCAGATACATGCCCCACATGAATGTAGAGGAGATTGGGAAATACGATTTTCCCAAATGCCCAGGAAGGAAATGAGATGGAGATCAATGATCACATTGCATTTTCTGTGTCACAGTGTGTATTTTACTAATTTGAATTTAAGAGATTGATTCAAGAAGGCTAATAGAAAAGGTGTGGGGGGGGGCGGGGGGGCGGGGATTATATCCAAATATAGCAGAAGAGAGAGGTATTATGTAGATTTGTTGGAAGAGACTGCTAAGATAGAGACATTTGACCTTAGCTTATCCCAACAGAGCCAGTCTTTGTCCCTATCAGTGGTTTTGCTGGGCACAGGCATTGTTAGGGTGAGACTCTACTCTCACTTATTAGTACCCCAAACCTAGAGGTCACTAACTTATTGCCAGTGGTACTTTTTAGCTGGGCTAATGACTTGTCTCATTATTTCTTTTTCAGGGTTTGAGTAAAAAAGTTGGTGTGTCATCCTCCATCCTCCAAGGTCTCTGGATCTCCTACAGCACAGAAGGTCTGTCCATGGCATTGGCATCTTTAAGAAATCTCTACACTCCAAATATAAAGGTAAATGCATACAAGTTATGTAGATTAAAGAATTAACTGTGAAACATAGAATTAGGAGGGCATTTAAGTGGCTATTTAATTGGTCTTTGACTTGCCTTAGACTATCTCCTATTAGCCTTTTATTGATAACTAGAGGCCCGGTGCACAAATTTGTGCACCAGTGGGGTCCCTCTGCCTGGCTTGTGTGATCAGGCCAAAACCGGCTCTCCAACATCCCCCAAGGGGTCCCGGGTTGCGAGAAGGCGCAGGCCAGGCTGAGGGACCCCACCAGTGCACGATCGGGACCGGGGAGGGACGCGGGAGATTGGCCAGCCAGAGAGGACCGTGGGAGGGCTCCAGGGCATGTCTGGCCCGTCTCGCTCAGTTCTGATCTGCCAAACCCCAGCAGCAAGCTAACCTACCAGTTGGAGTGTCTGCCTCCTGGTGGTCAGTGCACGTCATAGTGAGCGATTGAGCGGCCTTAGCATATCATTAGCATATTATGCTTTGTTTGGTTCAACAGATGACTGGACACTTAGCATATTGGGCTTTTATTATATAGGATATGTTTTTTAAAATATTTTATTTATTTCAGAGGGGAAGAGAAAGGGAGAGAAAGAGATGGAAACATCAGTGATGAGAGAGAATCACTGATTGGCTGCCTCCTGCATGCCCCACACTGGGGATTGAGCCCGCAACCTGCATATATGGCCTGACCGGGAATCAAACTTTGACCTCCTGGCTCCTAGGTTGATGCTCAACCACTGAGTCTCGCCAGCCAGGCCGATAATATGTTTTAAATGGTTACATTTTATTCTGTGAATTAAGGAGCAAACTATTGGCCTTCTATAATAGTTGACCCTGATTTATAGGATCAGGTCCTGCTGCTTTTAGGGAGTAAGTCAATCTCAGGTGGCCTTTGTTTTAGTAGGGGCTTTTCTAACCAATAGTTCAATGGTAGAGACTACGTTCAGCACTACAGTATGGGTGGCATTTTCTCTAGTTACTAAGTGGTTTATGTAAAGAGACATTTTACATCCCTTTCCCCAGGCAAGGTATTGAAAAAAAGGAACACATAACAATTATTTTAAAAAGCAGTTAATTAAATGCTACTAGACACTATTATAGGGTCCCAGGTGACTTAATAAAAGATGACTAAAAGGATGTGACTAATATTTGTTTGAGTGTTATTTTTATTTACTTATTTCTAGGTCAGCCGACTACTGATTTTGGGAGGTGCCAACATTAATTACCGGACAGAGGTTTTAAATAATGCCCCAATTCTGTGTGTCCAGTCTCATCTTGGTTACACAGAAATGGTGGCCCTGCTGTTGGAGTTTGGAGCCAATGTGGATGTCTCTTCTGAAAGTGGCCTGACTCCTCTGGGCTACGCCGCAGCGGCGGGCTACCTGAGCATCGTTGTGCTGCTGTGCAAGAAACGGGCCAAGGTAATGGCTGCCTGGCTCTGCTGCTTCTCCTTTCTTCCCTTTATCTCTCTTCCTGCTGTAGTCATCCTTATCTCCTGTGTTACCTCATGAATCCAGGTGGAGCACATCAAACCCTGTTAGGGAGCAGATCAAAGGGAATACGGGCTCCCCAGACATCCCAGTGTTTGCATGCCAGCTCCACACTGCATCTGGACACAGTCCTAAACCCTTTGAAGGGCACTTAGAAAACCTCATTAGCAGCAGCCACAAAAAGTCTCCACCTAACAACCAAGAAATTCTCTACTGAGCCTCAGAGTAAGGAAAGAGAAGGTGGAGGAGCAGGGAGACTGCAGTGGGAAATCTGAACTGAATGGTGCCTGCAGCCTCAGCCTTTCATGTGTAGAGAAGATAAGTTAGCCATGGAGATAAGAACAGAGACCAGACTCCCTCTTCCTATCCTTAAAGATCCCCACCAAAGAGGTATGGGAAGAAGGTGGTTCTCTCTAATTATCCTCAAATTGACCAGAGGCAGTCAGAGTGTTTCTGTTAGTATATTTTAATTCTCTAAAAACCTTTCTAGAAAATGTGTTTGCTTTGTAGTAACCCAAGAGCCACTGATGTAAAATAACTCAATTTCAAAATATTGGTGAAAAGAAAAGTGCTGGCCTCAAAATGGAGGCCTCTGAGGAAATTGTAGCCTTGTGGTATTTTGTTTCAGTCCTGAAAACAAACTGAGGATTTTGGTGGTTTTGCAATGAAATATAAGTAATATGAAATATAAGTATGACCTCATTCTGAGGTGTCCAGTGTTTTTACCAGTGAAGAGAATGGGACTCCTGAGACTCCCTTGGGAACTGGGACCTGGGACCCTCAATGGAAACCCGAGCCTCTGATGTTTACGGTGACACAGTGATGGGCCACCTCTAAAGTCCTGTTCAATAGGATGAACACCTCAAGAAATAGAATGATAATTGGGCCTTATTACTGTTGCTGTGAATTCATATTTTAATCTCAACTGGGTCTTTCCTGCTGCTCAGCTGTCATTTTACTCATCTCTCGTTTTCCCCACAGTAGATGTATAAATCTTTTGTGTTCTTTTCAGTACCCTCTCAAACTTATTTTACCCTCCTACATTACTAAGATTGAGTTCCTCTCAATGTATATCTCAAAACTATGAATCCTTACCTACACTCCCCTTTACTTCTGCCTTAGAAAGGAACTGTTTCCTCCCTTTCCAAAGCAATGGCCTCCACCTATATTTTTTATCTCAATGAGTTGCTTATTCTCTCACATTTTATTTCATTCTTTTTCTAATTTATACTGCCTTTCCCCCCAGTTTCTACAACCTTATGAATGTCTCCTCTAACTCAGATGAGAAATTTTCCTTTCTCCTAACCAGGAGCTCCCATCTCTTACCTTCCATATCTACCACACCTGTTCTACGAGTCATCTGTACTTGCTACCTCTGTTCACTTAGTACTCCTGAACTACTTGTCGTGTGGCTTCCATGAGAGAAGGAGGAGGCAATTCATTAAAAATTATATACTTTGGAATCAAACACAACTTGGTCAAAGCCTGCATTCGCACTTAACTTTCTGTAACGGCTTAGAGAAGTCATTGAACCCCTCTTAATCTTACTTGTTTCATCCAGAAAATAGAATTAAAAACAAGAAAACCTTTTTAAAAAGAGATGAACTCTCTTTATCTGATTTAGTGCCTGATAAATAATAATAGTCTTTAAAAAAAAGAACACACTTGGACACAGTGAAGGCCTTTATTTGGGTGAAGGCCTGGATGGGGTGGGGTGGGGGCAGGGTGGAGGGGGGAAGAGAGACATGAGGGACATCTGTAATACTGTCAATAAATAAATAAATAAATAAATAAATAAAATAAAACACAGTCTCCTGGCACTCAGATGTAGCCACTCTCTCAAAATCCACTAACAACTGCCAGTCACCAAATAAAGTAACCTTTTCTCATTTCTCACCCCTTAGACAGTATTGAGTATACTTCTCAGAACTTGTAATATGGTCCTAGTACCCCTCCTGCCTGTCTGGCTGCTCTTCTCTCTTCCTTCTCTTAATATAACTGTTCACTAAGATTTTGTCCTCTCCTCATACTCCCTCCCATGGATTCTGCATTAAGAAGATAATGAAGAATATTAGCCATTTATTTTGTAGAAAGTTCTTGAATTTTAGTTTGTCTGATATTTTCTCATCATTAGAATATATATTTTTGTCAATTATACCACCAAAGTGATACCATTAACTTCAGTTGCTTTGTTAAGGTCGTGCCTTCCAGGTTTCTCAGGTGTGAAGTTACTGTCTACCCTTTTTAATTAAGAATTATATTTTAGGGAGATGCTTTGAGACCTGTTTCTCATGCTTTTGTCCACTAATTTTAGGATCCATCAGTGTTTGCCCAATGGTGATTTTCTATTTCTCCCATTCCTTCAATATTTTTAATTGGAATTCTATCGTAAAGAAGAGCTATAACTTCTCCCCCATGTATTTATTCAGTTATTTCTAGCACAGGGGATTTCTAGATACTGATTTTATACTATGAACTGTAACCGTTGCTATTATGATTTATTTTGTTGCTCAAATTGGCCCATATTTGGTCATTGGAAGCTCTTTCAATTTGGGTACTGTGTCCTTTCAAATCTCCAACCCATTATTTCATAAGACCCTCTCAACTTTGCAGTTTAAACTTCCCCTTTATGTACCCTTTCCTTAAAAAAAAACAAAAAACAAAAAACTAGAATTAATCATTTCCTATTAGTGAATTAATATAGACTTAAGTTCATTTGGGCGCTGTAACAAAATACCATAGAGTGGGTGAGTGGCTCAAAAACAACATTTATTTCTCACAGTTCTGGAGGCTAAGCCCCAAGATCGTGGTGCCAACAGATTCGATGTCCGGTGAGAGCTTCCTGGTTCACAGACAGATCTTCTTGCTGTGTCCTCACATGGTGGAGGGGGACAAACAAGCTCTCTGGGGTCCCTTTATAAGGACACTAATTCCATTCATGAGAGCTCTGCCCTCACGACCTAATCCAGGAGTCCTCAAACTACGGCCCGTGGGCCACATGCAAATACAAATATTGTATTTGTTCCCGTTTTGTTTTTTTACTTCAAAATAAGATATGTGCAGTGTGCGTAGGAATTTGTTCATAGTTTTTTTTTTAAACTATAGTCCGGCCCTCCAACGGTCTGAGGGACAGTGAACTGGCCCCCTGTTTAAAAAGTTTGGGGACCCCTGACCTAATCACTCCCCAAAGGCCCTATTTTCTAATGCCATCCGGGTTAGAATTCCAACATATCACTTGGCGGGGATACAAACATTCAGACCATAACACCTTTCCGACTAAATTCATTTCAGGTTCTAGCCAGGAATGCTCTGAAAGTTTATTGCACATTTACTCTTCTTACGGCATTTATTATAAACTTCTTTTTTGGACAGACGTTTGTCATATTGGTCACATCTCCCCTACCTTGTTTGAAAATCCTTGAGCACGGAATTTATATTTTACTATCTTGTTCACCTTTTCATTCACCTTCCACATCGTAGGCATTCAGTAAACATTCGTTAAATAAATGGCTGAGTGGACCTAAAGCTGGGGAAAATCAGATAGAGAACTTGTTTCAAATGTTCTAACTACCACTGGAAGATAACCTGTCAGAAAAGGCTGTGGCTAGGGACCTTCTGGTAGATTGATCTTAATCAGGCCCTTCCTTCAGCCTAAACCAACACTGCGTTGTAAAAACTGCTTCTGGAACTGAGTCTAGCATTAAGGTCCAAGTAACTCTAACCATTTTGGTCAAATCTTTGAGATTCTGCCCTCACACTGGAAGAAAGATGCAGCCTTTGCCAAAGCTTGGTGGTCAAATGTGTGATTCATGATACAAAAGATATTTTACTTCTTTGGAAGACAGAGAAGGAGAGGGAGGGAGGGAGGGAGGGAAGAGAGAGGAGAGAGAGAGAGAGAGAGAGAGAGAGAGAGAGAGAGAGAGAGAGAGAACGAGCTTCAAAATGGGTGTGTTTTTTTTCCTTTCATGGTTTCAAATACATTTTTTTGTACCAAGAGAGCTACGAGTCTTTCAAATCTTGGTCGGAAAAGAACTATTTAAGGACAAAGGAGAATATACCTCAGAAAAACAAAGCTGGAACTGGAGGGGTTTTTTGGTTTCTTTTGATGTGAAAACAAAAGCCTGACCCTGTAACCTCAGGGGGCTTCTACCAGAGTTATGGCTCGGTAGTTATTTAGGCTGAGTAGGAGAGTATCCTCTAAATTTTCTCAGATTGGTTCAGGTCGTGGGAAAGACTGACTCGGTAGTCCAGGCTGTGCAGTGGGATGATATGACTAGAGTGGGGGTACAGCCCCATTCTTCGTTCACACAGATTTCTCTGTCCCCTTCCCTTAGGTGGATCACTTGGATAAGAATGGACAGTGTGCTTTGGTCCATGCTGCACTCCGAGGTCATCTGGAGGTCGTCAAGTTTCTGATTCAGTGTGACTGGACAATGGCCAGCCAGCAGCAAGGGGTGTTTAAGAAGAGCCAAGCCATCCAGCAGGCCCTCATTGCTGCAGCCAGTATGGGTTACACTGAGGTAAGAAAGCAGGCAATTAAAGTTTGTTATTTTTTTTTTCTTCAATCTATGTGTTGGAAGACTAGGAGACCAGGAGAAAAGGGTTGCATTATTGCAAAATTGCCACTCTAATTAACGTGAATTCGCTTCTTGATCACTACTCTGAGGAATAAGAAGCATAGACTCCATGAAGCAGTTGAATTCTAACCGAGGTACCTAGAATTATGGGCACAGAATGTGGGAATTGGAAAGGACCTTGGAATTTATCTAATCCAGTTCCTCCCCATCCTTTCACCCCTGTTTAACAGATACTGACACTAGGCTCAGAAGGATTATTTATTGAGCTGTGTCCCCATGGATAGCAGTGTGACATGGGAATAGCACAACATTTAGAATCTCAGAAGGACTAGATTTGAGTCCCAACTTTGCCACTCATTAGCTCTGGACCTTGAGCAATTTACCCAATCTCTTGGAACCTTAGTTTACCATCAGTAGAGTGAGTCTAATAAACTATTTTTACAAGGCTTGTATGAAAGGTACTTTGTAAACTGTTAAATACTATACAAACGGTATTTTTGCTAACTTATTTATTTATGATAGTAATAATATAGTGGCAAAATATATGGAATTGGTAGTATACTAGGAAATGTTAACAGTCAGCTATGGGAAGGAGAGTGAGTGGAACAGGAGAGAGGGAGGAGGAGAGTGAGAGAGAGAGAGACAGAGACGAGAGCATACGTACAGTCATGTGCCACCTAACGACATTTCGGTCAACAACAGACCACATATATGAGTGTGATGTAACCAAGGAGTATATAAATGGCATCTGGAAGAAGACACTCAAGAGGTTTGTCCCTAATTTCAAAGGATTTGCCAAGGATGTGAAGGTTGCAAAAATCAACAGGGCTGTGGCTGAGCTGGCAAACACTTTAACCTGGATGTGGGTGATGATGAAATTGAGGAGCTCCTAAGGGTGGTTCCTAAGGAACTGACTAATGCAGAGTTGTTGGAACTAGAACAGGAACACATAACTGAAGAAGAGGCAAAAGAAAAGGAATGGCAGAAGAAAGAGAAGAAGAATCCCTAAGAAAATTCACAGTGGGGTTTAGTAGAAGCTTTTGAAGACCTCAATAAGCTCCTTTAAAAGTTTGAAAATATGGACCCCCAACACCAAAAAATTTTCATTAATGCAGTATCTGCTTATAGGCAAATTTATGATGGAAAATAAAAATTTTTTTAAAAAGACCACCATGGACATATTTCTGAAAAGAATGACAAGTCCTCAAGAAGAGCCTCAGGCAGGTCTTTCAGGGGGTGTTCCAGAAAAAGACATGTTTTCATAGGAGATGACAGCTCTATGCATGTTATTGCCCCTGAAGACCTTCCCGTAAGGGCAAGTTGTGGAGGTGGAAGACAGTGATAATGATGATTCTGACCCTGTGTAGGCCTAGGCTAAGGTGTGTGTTTGTGTCTTAGTTTTTAACAAAGAAAGTTTTAAAAATAGAAAAATTTAAATTTTAAAAATAGGAAAAATCTTATAGAATAAGGACATAAAGAAAATATTTTTGTGCAGCTATACAATGTCTTTGTGTTTTAACCTGTTAATACAAGAGTTGAAAGTGTGTTTTTTAATTATAAAGTTAAAAAGTTATTGAAAAAAATTTTTTTAATTTGGTGTAGCCTAAGTGTATAGTGTTTAATAAAGTCTACAGTAGTGAGGCTCTAGGCCTTCACATTCACTCACAACTCACTCACTGACCCACCCAGAGCAACTTCCAGTCCTGAAAGCGCCATCATGGTAAGTGCCCTATATAGATGCACCATTTTTTTTATCTTTTATTTTGTATTTTTACTGTACCTTTTCTGTGTTTAGATATACAAATACTTAATATTGTGTTACAGTTACCTGCGGTGTTCAGCACAGTAATGTGCTGTGCAGGTGTGTAGCTGAGGTGTGGAGTAGGCCATAGCGTCTAGGTTTTTGTTAAGTATACTCTAGGATGTTCAGGCAAAGACAAGATCGCCTAATAACACATTTCTGAGAATATGTCCCCGTCATTAACTAATGCATGACTATACTTAAATTTATTATAAATTTTACTGATACAAAGAACATGTAGTACACAGTTGACAAGTGGTAATGAGCACAATACTCTTAATTGAATGCTAATGTTGATGTTTTCTAAATTTGTGTCATAACCAGCCTAGCAAGTTGGCTATCATGCAACTCCACTGTGATTTTATAAAATGAATTTGTACCCCAATTTACCCAATAATTTTATTGTCATTAAATCTGATATGTGACCTATTGTTAAACTACTTCTTGCCCTCATGCAAATAATATTCATTAAACTGGAAGTTCTTTTAGCTGCAGCACTAAATCAAATCCTGATTGGTAATGTTTGCCAGTTTCAGGGTGTAGATACTCCCTCCATGGCCGATTTCAAGCTACCAACGTGACATCACTGAACACGAAGTTGTGGAGAGGTTCACAGCAGCACACCATTCTGTAGTATTTTCATCACACAGACACAGGAGGTACAAATCACCTCCAGGGCATAGATCATTGGAAAACAGTGGAATAATCAGGAAATTACAAGATTTTATTTTTTAACTTTTGTTTTAAATATAATTTAATTATGATTCAACTTTTAATAAACATCTTTGTTTAACACCAGACTTGCAAAAATCCCGCAAATTTAAAGTTCAGCTTTCATTGGCCAGTACCACTGCATGAGTTGCTTCAGTGATGCAGCTACCCTATCAACTGACCTAACATGTCCCCAAGGGAATATTAAGTAAAACTGGAATTTTATTATCTTTGTGAGGCTTTTTAAAACACTCTCTACAGTCAAATTTCTGGAAACAGAGCTGTCACTTTCCTTTCTAATTAGCAGCCATTCCCCCATGTCCCTAAAACAGTCCTTATACTTAAAGGAGATAGTCGCTGTGCTCTGAAGATATACAAGCCCTAAGGTTGTCCATATTTATTTTATTTTTTGTTTAATGATTGGGGTTTTTTCTGTTTATTGGTATTTTTATTTGGAGGATGAAGGGTTGCTTCTTTAAGTTAAATATGAGAAATATGTAATTTTTAAAAATCACATGCTATGTAAGTGAATTGTCTTCAGAGAAGCCTGTAAACTGTGCCTGATAGGAACAAATACTCATCACGGCAGCTTCGGGTTCCTTTGCTAGGCCAGGCACTTCAGTTCCTTCTGTGTGCAGGAGGTTTCATAACACTTGTGTCATCCAAGGAGCTTTCAAACCTCACAGGCTAGTGTCGGTAGCATAGTTTTCCACCTGAAGTTGAGCTGACACAACTTCTTGTTTCAGATTGTCTCCTACCTACTTGATCTTCCAGAAAAAGATGAAGAGGAAGTGGAGCGAGCGCAGATCAACAGCTTTGACAGTCTCTGGGGAGAGACAGGTACTTGTCACGGGCGTCACTCTCTTCTCTCACGTGTGTGTTGTGTGTGTGCGGAGGTGTTCTCTGCACCGCCCACCCTGATTTTTCCTCTGGCACACCTTAGGCATCTCTCTGGTGGCTTTTGTATTGGAGACCAATTCAGCCGAAGTAAAAAGTCAAGCAATTTCTCTCTTTCAATTCCCCTTCCCTTTGGATTCCCCATACCATTAGCACCAGAGTCTTCTTTCAAACAAAACTTTCCCCTGCTCTTGTTTCCAAATATTTTTAAAAGACTGAAAGTTTCCCTACAATGTGCCAAACCAGAGCAGAAAATAGTTGTGGCCTTTCTCTTTTTTGATGTTATCCTTATAACAGTTAGGAATAAATAATTCTCCTGTCAAAATAACTCTCTTCACCTGTAGTTGTAAACCAGGAGATTACATTTTTATCTACGACTCTGGCTTCACCAAGTGCTGTGAACAGTATGAGTCAAGTTGGTCTCTGGGGGCAACATGAAGGTGTCACCCTGTAAAGTGCAGCCACATGCCATCTCTCTGTCTGTAGCGAAGAGATTTCTGTATTGCTTAGTATTTACTACATAAACAGCAGCCTCTTCCTTGTGACCTTTGTAGGAAATGATTATTGTCTTTCCCCCAAGTCTAAACTGCAACATCTGGAGAAACATTAGTAACCTCCTATGTGTTTTTATGGAACCAGGGCAATGAAAATAGTAGAGTCACCACAGATATGTGTCATTTTTGCCAGGAGGAGACCAGTATTGAGATGGCCAAGTTAGGGAGAATATTTACCAAACAAGAAGGCTATGTGTTTTGCTTAGAGTCAGAGTGTTATTAAAAATAAAAAAAGATACTTGAATTCATTTAAAATTTACAATCACCTACTGAATTGCAATGTTTCCATCCATGGCAAAAATCTTACATAGGTTTCATGGCTTCTCTAACATTATGTAGAATGGTCCAGAGCCCAGGAATTTACTCCTCAAACAATCCCTCCCTCTGTAAGAGCCAAAGGGAGCAGATGCCAGGCAGCTGCAGCTTAAGAGCCTGTGACAGATTAAAGGAAAATGTGCAGCTGGAAACAGCTGTTGTCTCTGGGACCCCACCCTGAGGGAAGCCAGAGGACAGACTGGGGGAAGAGACTGGCCAGGACATCAGCAGTCCTGGAGTACGCATGTTGTGAGCTAGAGCTGCAGAGGGACATACTGGTTTACTGCTCCTGTCAGCAAAGCCTTCCCCAGCACAGCGCTGCCCTCCCTCCTAGCAGACTCCCATGGTCAGACCATGTACATATAACCACAGGGAGAACAAAAAAGTAGTGGTCAAATGGTGATAATGGATAGAAATTACAAGACCTACACATTCTAGTAGTGTATTTAAAATAATTACTAAAAATGTTCAAGAAGGGTGTGAACTAAGTAGAAGACCTTTTTATCTATATGAATTGCTTATTAGAATAAAACTTTTGGTCTCAGGACTTCTAAAACATTTCATACTTTAAGTATGCAGTAAAGTTTGTTACATTGTCTTACACATGTATCATATCTCAAGGTTGTGAAAACTCAGAGCTTCGTGTCAGTTTGATTATAATCAGAATTGTGTTTAACGTGATATTTATATGAAACAATTTCAGCATTAGAAACATAAAATGCTATTTAAATTTGGCATAATATATGCATAACCAATGGACATAGGACGCTGGGGGGTGGGGGAGGCCAGGGGATAGTCAAGGGCGGAGAAAAAAAAAAGACACATATGTAATACCCTTTGTAATACTTTAAGCAATTAAAAAAATAAATAAAATAAAATAAAAAAAAGAAAAAAAAATTTGGCATAGAATGAAATACATTTGTAGTATAATTTATAGACCTATAAAAAGTTATTTGACCTTAGAAAAATTTGGGGGAAATGATATCTTTGCTATGTGAAAATGTTCTGACAACCCACCAAAAATTATGAGTTGCTTTTCTTTCTATAGTGATGGAACTAAGTAAACATGTTTCTTCCTAACTTACAGCACATAATCATTTAAAATTTATAATGATCAATTGAATTGTGATGTTTCCTCCAAAGACAAAATCTTATATACGTTTCCCTTATATAGGGAATGAAGGTCTATGATCTACAGCCAGCTGGTTGACTGCAACCCTGTTCTAAACAACATAATTTATCCCTGAGGAAAATATGATGGTCATGATGTCTTCAACAATCTGTACCACTTACTAAATTGAATCTAAGACACTAGTAACTATAAGAAACTATATAATCAATGCATTTTGTGCCAGTACAAAAAACAACAACCTCTGCCAGTTAAACTGGCACAATTCTTTATTACCACATCAATTGTAAGAGGCATTCCAATTCAGAGGTGTTAAAGTGTGAAAGAAAAAAGCACATCTTAGAATCAATGAACTATATCTTAGCATGTAGTGAAATATTGAGGTGCAATTTTTACATGTCGGATTTTCTAAAAGCAGATCACCAGAATATCCTTGTTGCCTTTGTCCCCATTTTGCAGCCTCTTATCCTTCCAGGTAGCATCCTCCTACATCCAGCTTTCACCCTCTGGCTGACCCCTCCCATCCCACAGGTTTTCACAGACTTTTTATGGAACAACACAGAAGAAAAGCAATTTGGTGACAAGATTATTCACCACTCCCTCTTCTCCTATGGGCAAAAACTATGACCAGCATTAAAAGCTTCTAGCAACTCAAGGGCCTGAGTCATCCCATGGCCCAAAGGAAGCCAGTTCCCAGAGTAAACAAGATACCCTCATTCATGCCCTCATCATCTCTTGCCTAGATTATTGCAAATACATTCTAACTGCTCTTCTTGTCTGTAGCCGCACCCTTTTGTGATTCATCTCCCAGACTTCAGCCAAAGCAATCTTTCTGAGCCACAGTCTGTTCATGTCACTTTCCTGCTTACCCCCCTTCAATGACCACCTGTCACATTAATTAAGTTATTTAATGTAGCATTAAAAGACCAGTCATGATCTCTAGCCTCATCTAGTGCCGGTCTCTCCAGTTACTCCATATACGATAAACATGCTATTTCCTACCTCATTGCCTTATACACTCTCTGCCTGTGCCTAACATGCCTCCTCCTTGCCTTCGAATGCCTGTGAGTCTCCTGTTTCTCTTTCAGCTTCTAGCTCAGATTATCGTCTCGTCCTAGAGACCTTCTCAAACACTCCTTCCCCTGTGACACCTCCATACAACCAACCTCCATGGACTTATTTCTGTTGTACATATCACACTGTATAGTAATTTATTTGTTTTTCTGTGATTCTTACTGAACCATGAGTTCCTTAAGAGCAGAGACAGTGTCTAGCAAGTAGCTCAATAAATGTTTAATTAATGTTTTGTAGCAGTGATCAGTGTATGTCTCACAACCACACCCTCCCGTTGGTCAGGTGACCTGTCTGCTGCACTCTTTCTAGGTTGGAAAAAAAAACAAAGAACCATTTGCTTTGCTGTGTTCTATTTAGTGTCAGCATCCCATCCAAGCAGACTGGCTTTTCCCCAACTCTGAGCTGTATCCTGTCTGTCTCTTCATACTCCTTAGATTTTTCCATTTGGAAAAGGACCATTTATGTCAGATAATCTCATCAGATGCTGACAAGCTAGCAAGCAAATTTTGTGACTGGTCTCTCGGAAAGAGATCTGGCTCCAAACTGTTGTGGTTGCACTGAGAATCAGTTTGTTGTTTTTATAGAACTGGCTTTACCTTCATCTTTTTTCTTTTTTTCCCCCAAAAAAGTTTTAACAGTTTTTGATAAGACTGCTATAAAATCCAGCCAAAGCAACTCCTTACTTTTGGATTTTGAAAAGCACAGATTCCATTTTACATAGTTGTGTTGCTCTGAGATGAAATTGGCCAGCTGCGTTAATGACCATATTCAGCTATCAGCTTTGAGATATGAATTCCTGCCAAATTACATCATAACCTAAGAAGATACAACAAAGAAAAAGGCCAAATGAAACATCCCCTCTCATATAAATGTGCAATCCAGTGGGTTGAAATGAGCCAACCAGAGCAATATAACTCCAGGTTAGAATGGACAGTATAAGTTTAGCGTTCAAGATGGGCCCTGGGCACGCATGGCAGCTGTATTCTGTGAACTGGCATCATTGCTTAAAGGCTGATTCTGAAATACTGTGCATATTTTCTCCAGGGAATTGTAAATTCTTTTGTGAAAAATAATGTATTTGCCCCCCTTTCCCCATACATAGGATATTAAAGGGGAAGTTTGCTGCAACCCTGTCACCTACCTAGTAGCTGCTTTAAATGGGATCAGAACTTGGGAGTTAGAAATTTTCCAAATTATTTGTTTTATGTACCAACAAGGTGATGTTACAATTCCTCACACGTATCTAACTCATTCAAGTTCTTTTCACCCCCAGCTTTACTGAGAGATAATTGATATATGACATTGTGTAAGTTTCAGGTATACAATGTTATAATGTCCATTCAAGTTCTTAGACTGCTCCGGTGTTCTGACCCAAGAACTGAAGTGTTGCAGTTTCTGAAGTATTAGAAATATAAACTTGAGAAAGAGGGAAGATTGCTTTGATTTTGATTTGAAGAGTAAGAGACAAAACTTCTTTATCAAGTCAATAGTCAGACCCATCAATACCTGCACACATTTATTGGGGGTTTAGAAATGACCCTCACCCCAGGTGGGACCACGCCACTTCCCGTCTGTGAGGAACAGGACAGAAATAATCTTAGGACTTCTCAAATAAAACTGAAAATGCATATAGGACAAGGCATAGATGCATCTAGTTTGAGTGAATATATCTTCTAAAATTGCCCCTTAAGCCCTTCTTATCACTGAGGAAGGAAAAGATTACTTGAAGGTTTATCTTGGTGGAAATTACAGGTCATCTTGGTTTTGCACATGAGTCAGTTGTGGATAAATTTGGCCAAGCCCAAAGACAAAATGCTATCATTTGCCCTTGAAAAAGATTATAAGTGACCATTTGATTTGAATTTCCATTGCTTCCCTCATTAGATACCAACTGTATCAAAGATCATAAACAAAGGACAGCAGCAAGGAAAGACCATTTAAGTTTCTTCCTGCTGTGTCTCTTATACTCACTATAGCTAATTTCTATCTGTGACTCCATCGTTATATTCACAACAAAAGAGTTTTTGTCACACCTCTTATCTTGACTGTTGCCTTGAACACTTCTGATCCTCATATAAAAATGGTTGCAGATATACTAGAAATGTCTGTCTCAACTAATGAAGGAAAGGAATGAAAACTGTCCCAAGACCCGTGGACTGCAATTTCTAACTTTGGTTCTTGGGTTTAAGGGTCCAAGGACTGAGGTGGCCAGAGATTGTTCCTAGCTAATTCTAAAAACAAGACCTTACTCAGCAAAAGCCCTTCTCCCTGCATTCCAGCCACACATATACCAGTAGAAGGTGTGTAGCTAGAAAGAGGTACCAAAAAAGAGTCAGGGTAGGAAAAAATAAAATGAAGTAAGTTTGATCAAAGGTGATTTTTCAGTAAATGTGTTCTTATAATTGTTTCTGCGTATTATAAATAAGCCCATTTAAATGTAGTTGTATTCACTTAAATTTTCATGACAAAAGTAGCTAAAAATCATTATTCTTGGAGGTAAAGTAGCATTTATATTAATCAGACACAGATATACTGCCATGTTTAACACACAGGATTAGAGATGGCAGGAGCCACCTGTTTTCAGTCTGTGTTCTCTGCCCTTAGCCCTGACAGCTGCAGCCGGAAGGGGCAAACTGGAGGTATGCCGTCTGCTCTTGGAACAAGGGGCGGCAGTGGCCCAGCCAAACCGTCGAGGGGCAGTGCCCCTATTCAGCACTGTTCGCCAGGGCCACTGGCAGGTAAGCAGGGCAGCTACTTGTAGGACCATGGGCAAGAGTGAACTCTAGGTGGGAAGTTCTGATGCAGAGAGAGAAAAAAGAATCACAAAATTTGAGTTACCCAGCAACCATCGCGTTTGAGGTCTTGGTTGTTTGTCATTACTATTCCAGTTGAGAATATGTCAGAAATTTAACATTCAAAATCATCCTCACTTCTAGATTGTATAGAAAGACTGGCTACTTTTGGCCTGGTCGTAAAATTGCCTCTTTCCAGAGAACATTTTACAGTATCCACAAGTTCTTGGGGAGGTTCATATCTCAACAGATCCCTGCTAACCACTTATTTGCAGGTGTCTGAGATTTGCTAAAAGAAAATGTGATGTATATAAATTCTAGTTATGCAGTCTTTCCAGATGTTTGGCTTCTGGATAGATGCTAATTTGTACACTTAGGATGGAAACGAAAGCATATTGGTAATAATCCTTTTCAAAGTACTTGAGTAGAAAAAAGGCTGTAGAAGCCAAACAGTGCTAAAGAGTTGAGACTCTCTATGGTATTCAGTTCAGTCACAAATATTCACTGCAGGCAGCTTTGCAACTTCTAGAGGTTAATAAAATGGCACTGACACAGGAGGGACTTGTGTTGGAGTTTAGTTATGGGATTGCTTAGTCCCCATCTTGGCCATTGTTACCTTAAATTCTTTTTTATTTAGTGGCTGAGTCGAGCATTCAGAGTTGAATTCTTCACATTTAGCTGTCCCTGCGAGAGTCGGAGATCAAATCACGTGGTACAAGGACTGTGCGGAACTTGAGGGGGTGCTTGCAGTGGAAAGTTATCTGGGGGTTCACACAGTGTCTGGGATAGCGTGCCCGCGTCTGCTCAGCAGCTCTTCCTGGATAACTGGCAGCCTGTTTCTCTGAACTTGCAGATAGTTGATCTTTTGCTCACCCATGGAGCTGATGTCAACATGGCAGACAAGCAAGGCCGGACTCCCTTGATGATGGCTGCTTCCGAAGGCCATCTGGGAACTGTGGACTTTCTACTTGCACAAGGTCAGTCCTGGGCTGCCAGAGCTGGATGGTGAGTGCCCATAATTTACAGTGATGGATTCCAAGACATGTTAAGAACAGATATTATTAATCCTTGTGGCTTGAGGGATCTTCAGTATTCTAACCAAATGAACATATTCAAACTCTTCAGTTAAAGAGTTTGAATAATCACCAACTTTGCATTTTAATATATATTCAATGTATCTTCCAGGGATTGTATTTTGACCTTAACTTTATCAATTATTTTGCAGTCCTGCACAGCTAATATTTTTCTTGTATCCAAAGAAGGCAACGGGAGACTAAGACAGTTGCTGACAATGGTACCCTATTTGAGGACTCGGGATATTATTACCCTCCTCTTGTAATAAATGCCTTTTGACATTTACCAACAGTCACATATTCCTGGTGAATGGGAAATAAGTTAAAGGAGACACACCACCATCAAAACATTTCAAATTCCTTTTGATTGCTATGACCTCAGTTACCTGTGCAGAACAGTGGGGAGTGCTGGTGGGCCTCTGCAGTGGAAACGCTGGGGTCACTGCTGACTCTGCACTACTGTCTAGTGCAGTGGTTCTCAACCTTGGCTGCACATTAGAATCACCTGGGAATCTTTTTAAAATCCTGATTTCTGGGCCTCATCCTCCGGAAAGTCTGTTTCTTTGTTACTAATGTTGTGGCCCCACCCCATAACAAAGAACAGAATTTCCAGATGATGAGGCCCAAAAATCAGGATTTTAAAAAGATTCCCAGGTGATTCTAATGTGCAGCCAAGGTTGAGAACCACTGGTCTAGTGGAACTTGAGCATTTATTTGCATGAAGCAGGAGGTAGTGTGATTGTGACTTGTCTTAATGATTCCATTCTAGTTAGCTTCTCCTGTTAGTAAACTGGACCAAAAACATGTATCCATAAGCACATACACTTCAAGGAAACCAACCTCCTGAAGAATCACGCCCAGGTTAGAGCAGCTAAGGGTAATTGAGTTAGAACGAAGAGGTTTCTTCTAAGATTTTAAACTACAACTCAGTCAAACACTTACTGGATCTTTAGTTGGATCTTCCAAAGAAGATTTGTATCCACAACCTCAGGCTCTAAAGGTGGAGTCAGAATCAGAGAACGGCTCTGCCCGCATGCAGAGAGGTTCTTGCTTCCTTGGTACAAGCTACCAAACAAGTCTGGTTTCATATCTCTTCTCACTTCTGCTTAGAGGGAGTTGGTTGAGGAAGTGGGATGTGCCTGGATTCCCAGGATAAGATGTGGCAGGAGTAAATGTCTCAGGACAACCCAACTCTCCTGGAAAGGCAGGAGGTCTTCAGCCACTGATGACCTTGAGGTAACTGCACATTCCAGTAGAAGATCATCAGGCACAGATTCCAGCAAGTTCTTCTCCCTTAACCACTGCAGAGATTCTGATCTTTATACTATTTAATTTTTCACACTTAAATCAGAAACTTTTACTAAATCAACAAATTCTATGAACAGTTATTTATCCCACATTATTTGTAGAACTCTATGCAAGGAACTGTGAGTAATTTTTTAAAATTAATATACTATAATCTGTGCCCCCTCAAAGAGTCCACAATCTGGTTAGAAAGGGATGAAACAAAAATAAATAACTACCTTAAAAAGGAGAGAATCCCGAGTGCTCTGGTAAAGGTGTTTGAGCTAGACTAGGACAGACTTTGAAATGTGAGTAGGAAAAATGTTCTCTGTTTAGGGGCGGGGAGTAATGTAATTGGAAGGTGAAGAAGGAGGGACAGTGCACAAGTTTGGGGAAACAGGCAAGTTGTCCAGTGAAGTACGTGAGTGCTGTTGAGAAATAAAATGGGAAGCATATGTGCAAAGAAATGGAAAAGGAACAGATTAAAAGAGTTTGGACTTAATTCTAAAGGCAATGGGGAGCCTTTCAAGATTTTAAAAAAGGGAATTTATGCCAGAGTTGTGCTTTAAAAAATAAAAAAGTCACTCAGGCAATAATGTGAATAGATTTGATGAAGGAATTATAGGGATCCATTAGGAAGCCATTGTAGTAGAATGGATGAGAGGTAATGAGGCCCTAATCCAGGTGCAGTAGCTGTTAGAATAGAACAGAAGGGCCAAATGTAACAGTGATTATGATACAAAGATTGATTGCATTTAGGAAATAAGGAGGAGGGGTTGAAGACAACTCCAAAGTTTGAAGATGGATGTTTGGAAGAACTGTTGGTCTTAACTGCAAGGGGGGGAAAGAAAGAGGAGGAAAATTACAAATTGAATTTTGGGTTTATTTCATATGTATCTCCTTTTAACTTCTTAAATTCTAACTTTTCTTATTTTTTGAAAAATCACTTTATCTATAATATACATCCAGAACCTTCTTATCCTGTTTTTTTCCACCATTGGAGGCTCTGTCCAGAGAATTTGTAGATGTTGTGTCTAAGAAAACTCCTTGGATTCTGTCTCATATTCAAAATCATTCCATGGTAGAGTCAATGTTTTTATTGTTATTTTTTAATCCTCACCCAAGGACATGTTTAGAGGAAGGGAGGGAGAGAAAGAGAAACATCAATATGAGAGATATCGATGTTCATTGATGGGTTGCCTTCCATTTGTGCCCCAACAGGGATCGAACCAGCTACCTTTCAGTGCACAGGACGATGCTCAACCAGCTGAGCCATTCCAGCTGTGCAGAGTTGATGTTTTAATTGCAGAACGTACCATTGTGAAAAGCTAACCCAGAACATTTATGTGTTAGAGGTGTGGTGCCTTCCAGCCCTTCGTCCTGCTATGGGAAGCCACAAAGTATGGTTATCTGACCTCTAGGGATACACAGGTGATAGGCCCACTAGCTGCTGAGTAGACCTGAGCTGGCTGTGGCAGGTCCTAAGCTTGGTCTGACATCTGAATCCTGTCCTGCTGAGGGGCAGCCTGGAAAGTGTTCCCTGTGCAGTAAGTTGATCTCTTTAATTTAGTGAGTCTGACGTGCCTGCTCTGTGAAAAGAATTATCTTAGGTTCCCTTTGAAACTAGCAAGGAAATAATAGGCTCTTTGCCATCCAAAAGCTTACAATTTAAGCTGAGAACCAAGTGTATATTGAATTTTAGGCTAATTACAAAAGGTGTCAATTGAGCTTGATCTTTATAGATGAAAATAGACATTTTGAAGGCAGATGCAGAATATAAAAGGGGCTTAGACAGTGGGCATGAAGTTATTGAAGGCTGACTAGTTTAATTAAACTTTGAATTTCCTCTATGTCCTGGGTCTCTTTCCATGAGTCCATTTCCCTCACATTCTGTCAAGGAGTTTTTACTATTATAAATGAAAACTTTCACTGAGTTCAGAAAACATTCATTGAGAATTTAAAAGATTAACTACAGAATAAGGTGACATGTTAAACAGATTCAAGAGGAAGTAACAGTGAACCACAAGAAGCTTGAAGACGGGGATTGGAGATGGTTCCTAGGAAATGGGCAGAAGTGAGGCGACTTGTGGGTGGTGGGGGAGATATTCTGCACATGGAAGCAACATAACCAAAAGTGAGGGTTCAGGAACATTTATGGGAGAGTCTCTAGAGGCAGTGAGTACATCCATTTCACCAAAGTAGCGGATTCTCACAGGGAAGTGAGGAAACGAAAGGACAGAGGGTATGCTTGGGAGAGATTGTGGAGGACCTGGAATGCCCAGTAAGACAGCTGAACTTTCTTTTCTTCTGACAGCTTGTAGGATCAATTTTTTTAACAGTTTTTATTGAAAGGTAACTCACATACCAGAAACAAAAGCTGTGCTTTGGCAGAATGTACGCCTTAAGTTCCATCTTTCCCTTCTGCTATTAATTTTCATGTTTCCTCAGTCCTGCATTATACTTGCTCTCTTAGGTGCCTCCATTGCTCTGATGGACAAAGAAGGGTTGACAGCCCTCAGCTGGGCTTGTTTGAAGGGTCATCTCTCTGTAGTACGTTCTCTGGTGGATAATGGAGCTGCCACAGACCATGCTGACAAGAATGGCCGCACCCCATTGGATCTGGCAGCTTTCTATGGTGATGCTGAGGTGGTGAGTGTCTTTAAACAAACTTCACAGTGGTAGGGATAGGGGAATGTTCCCTGTAAAGTAAGTTGATCTCTAATTTAGTGAGTATGACGAGCCTACTCTGTGAAAAGAATCATCTTAGGTTCCCTTCGAAACTAGCAAGGAAATAATAGGCTCTTTGCCATCCAAAAGCTTATAATTTTAAGCTAGAACCAAGTGTATATTGAATTCTCCCTCCATAATGCTATCTGGGGTTGAGAGTTGCGTGTGGTGATTCCTGACATAAAGTTCTTGGATCTATACTTTAGAGGACAGAAAAATTCAAAACACCACTAAAGACCAAGAATATAGGTATGGCCTAAAATACCATGGCTACTCAGTCTGGTTCAGACCAGCAGTTGAATAAAGGGCAGGCAGCAGCCAAAACCCTTGGTGGAGCTGAACCATTGCACTTGTGTTAACTGCTCTGCTTGATCCATGTGCTAGGTCCAGTTCCTGGTGGATCATGGGGCCATGATTGAGCATGTGGACTACAGCGGAATGCGCCCGTTGGATAGGGCAGTGGGGTGCCGGAACACTTCTGTCGTCGTCACTCTTCTGAAGAAAGGAGCCAAGATAGGTAGGAGAAAGGAAGAAAGTGCTGGCCATCTGTGCCCAGGGGCCAGACTGGTCCAAAGGTCTGGCTGCCTTGGGTGTTTGGTGTGAGTGTATATAGTTTCCCCTCTGCCCTGGCCCAGATATTGTCCAAGTGAACAGGAAGCCTCTTGGCCCAGAGAAAGCCATCTGAGCCATGGTCTACACTACCCTGAGTAAAATCACAGGGTTCTCTGCCATGCCCCTTGTAGCCTTACCCAGGAGGCTGCTCTGAACTTTCAGCACATCTTAGTGCTAGTGCCTCTGTACCAGCCCCACCCTGTGAGCATCCTGGATCCCTGCACGGCCATGAGCCTTTGCTTCCCTTGCTCTGTATGTGCTTCAGACTCTCCAGTCCCTGCTGCCGCTGCCCCGTTCGCTCCCCACCCACAGACCTGTAGACAAGGGTTGGCTTATATGCTGGCTTTTTTGCTGCCTGCCTCTCACTGCTGCTTTTTCCTTCTTTTTTTTTTTTTTTTCACCTTCATCCATTTTTTTTTCCTCTCCTACAACTTTTTGTTTTCTCCTTTCTTTGAAGGTTGTCAGACGTTACCGAGTCGCCCACGAGGTATATTTCACCGCTGTCAGCATCAGGCGTGGTCTGATGGCTTGGTCAGCTTTGCCTTCTCCTCTTTGATTTAGCCTGCATGAGTTCCCCACACCTCTAATCTTTTAATTTACTTCACCTTAAAAGAAGATTTTTTTAAATGACTGTTGTAGAGAATAACTTGAACTTTTCATAACTAACCCTGAAAAGCTTAGTTGGTAAATAATTCAGGCATCTGTAAACTAATCAGTTGAACCTTTTCTTTCTCTTTGGGGGTAAAATAATCCTCAATAATGTCGGCTTGTCTCGTGTCTGTCTGACATTGGGACTGTGCTCCTGATACACAGTAAATCCCAGGAGTCCTACTCGATACTTAAAAAATAAGGGAGCTTTAGAGTCTTGAATGGTTTCCCTCTGCAAAGTACATATTTAAATATTAATAAACTAAATAGTTGGGGCCTTTGAGTCCCAGATTCTAACATAAATTTCTCTTTTTGGATGTTTAAAATCTTATAGTGACATTTAATATAAACCCTTTCTCCCAATTTTTTTTAAAATAACTCCATACTAAGCCATTGCCTGCCCAAATACAGTATGCAGACTTTGCTGCCCTCCTGTGGTACAAACTGAGTTCAGATATTCTTATTTTAAGGTGAATACAGTCCAGTGCAGCTTCTAGGCAGTGGGAGTCATTAAGATACTCCCAGGTCCAAAAGATGAGGAAATTCTTGTGGAGCAAGTTGTTCTCTCAGCAGAAATTCCCCCAGGATGTTTTTTTCACCTAGCTTCCTACCACCCTTACATTGTATGAGTTTTTTACCCATCATGCATCCTGTACACTGCAGGTCCAGCCACATGGGCGATGGCCACCTCCAAACCGGACATCATGATCATCCTGTTGAGCAAGCTGATGGAGGAGGGGGACATGTTCTATAAGGTGAGGGGAGAAGGAACAGTTCCCTCAGAACAGCCACTGACTTTTCTACACAAGGAACCTACCGACGTCTTGACAATTCTCATCTTTGGTCCTAGAGACAAAGGGAGAAAATGTCATCCCTCAGTGCCCGGCTCATACGTTGAAAATCCAGGCTTTTCACCTTCTCAACAAGAGAGCAAGAATAGCCTACACATGCCTGTAGCTAATCAACCTAAAGACCTAGTTTAACCACTATTGGGCAGTTACATAGATTCTACGTGGAATCTGCTAAGTGGGACCTGAAAATTCATGGGACGAGTCAAAGTAAAATATGCAGTGCAGATATTTTCAGTCCATGGAAAAGAGTACTGATCTTGTCTTTCATAATTAATATATTCATCGATTTAAAAGTCTATAATAATAGCTTATCAGTATCTCGAGTAAGATAAGACAACCAAGACAGAGAGCAGTGAGGTCACTCATTGAATGACAATAACAATAAAAAGAATGGAGTCTTCTTGTACTCACAACTCAAGCTGAGGGCTCCATGCCCTCCTAACACAAACTCTCATGGCCTATAGGAAGTCCCGTAAGAACATTCCATGTCGGAATTACTGTGTTGTGTTAAGATTAGCTGAATTGTCTTCTCCTGAAGGTAAACAAACACAAATCCAGCCCAGCTTTGGGCATTGGGCCTCACTGAGACGTCTCTAGGCCCTGGAGATGACTGTGAAGTACTTTATTTTCCCCCCACCCCCGGTGTAAGGAGTGCACAGAGCTCCTGGGGACAGAGTTGTATTTCCTGAGGAACTTTGAGTGAGACTCATGATAATCTAGGACTCTTAGCCTTCTAGGAAACTTGAGTCCTGACCCAACCATGATTTCACATAACTTCAAGGAAGGGCCTCTTTTGCTGTCATATTTATGGACCTGAGAATGGCATTGCCCTCAAGAATCTAAGCCCTGGTTATAGCATAACTTCTAATATTTTAAGACAAGGAGTCCTACCTCCTAATGAGAATGGGCAGAGCTACTACTGGTCCCACCCAGAATCCTACCTTGGAAGACTCCAAACCTCTCCTTAATGAGAGGTGCTACAGAAAAAATAAGAGATCAGGATCCCTGCTAAAGTTGCAGCGAATCAGAAGGATTAGAGCGGATAAAGATTAGCTAGAGGAAGGGTGGTGCCTCCTGCATCATTCTGGGCTCAGCGTGTAGATTTGCAAATACAAATTGTAAGAAAAGTTCAAGGCTCCTGTGACCAGGTCCCTAAGTTGATCATAGATTTGCTTTATCTTGGAAAAATCCCTCCTACATAGTCAGATAGAATCACAAACTCTAAACTTCACTTCTCTACTATCACCTTACCCATGCCTTTTCCAAAAACGGGGAAACTGATTGATATTATTTTATGCCATGAGAGTAGGGAACCAGCAACTAGATTGTTTTAGCTCCTGCATCCTTTGTGAGGAAGAGAACTGGCAAGGTGGAACATCAAACAAGGAAAGAGTTTTCCAGATAAGCAAAATTCAGGAAGTAGTCATTTTGGTGTGCTGGAAACTAGGAAATATGTGTTCCCTGGAGATCAGGTCAAGAGAAAGCTCTTTTGAAAGAGAGAGGTCAGTCCCTTAAAAATCCATTTGAGAAGCTGGTCCCAGGCCTTTCATCACATGGCTTTGTTTCTCTGGCTTGTATCTTGAGTAACCCCTTCAACCCTTCAACTGAGCCTTTCTTGCCTAAGGCAAGGCTGGCCCCTTCTGCTCTCATGTTCAGGGCCACACCTACTCTCTTAAGTGGCATTTGGGAGGGCTAACTCTTCATAATAACTGGAGAGAAGAAGGGAGTGGGACCAAACTTAGCTGCTCAGCAGACCAACTTTGTGTTTTGCCATCTTGTCCTCCCATTAGAAAGGTAAAGTAAAGGAGGCTGCCCAGCGCTACCAGTACGCTCTGAAGAAATTCCCTAGAGAAGGGTTTGGTGAGGACTTGAAAACCTTCCGGGAACTGAAGGTGTCTCTTCTCCTCAACCTCTCTCGGTGTCGCAGGAAAATGAACGTAAGTCCTTCTCATCCCAGCTCCTTTCTGCAGTCCTGGAAGTTGACAGTCCAAGTCATTCACTAGCCTTTACCAGGCCCCTGATCCTTCTCTGGCCCATTGGAACTCGGTTGTCCTTCACAGAGCACTGACATTTGCAATTTGAAAGAAATCAACTCTTAAGTACAATCCATATCAAACTGTAAAAAAGTGAATGCTGTGGGCACTTTATAGGTTTCTGAGTTTTCATAATTCCCACTGAAAGTGATTAAAAAACTGTCATCATCCTCCCCACCCCAAAGTCAACTTTCTGGTCGTTGGGAAAATGTGAGAGCAATTGTCACTAAAATTCCAGCTGCAATTAGTTATGAATTTTAATCATTCCCTCCCTTTGTAGAAGGCCCCCAAGTCACGTATGGATGGGCTGGAAAGAGGACTCAGGACCATGAACTTAAAGATTTAATTTCTAAGGCTAATCTTGAACTTTTCACTTCTACTCATCTTTTTATCCTAGCATGCCATGTCCCTTCTTTTTGCAGATAGAATCTTAGAACTCTTCCTGGTCCCTTATTATCTCCCAGATAATCCTTGGTCCTTCTTGCCTGCTTTGCAGATAGTCTCTGATGCCCTCAGCAACCTTGACATGCAGACACTCCAGGGCCAAGAACCCTCTCTCAGATACTGGGAATAGCTAAGATCATGTCAGGAGTCTCTGACATCCACCAGCCTGAGGTTTCATAGCTCATCAAGGGATAGAAATAATCCAAGCCAAACAGGAGTGTTGATCAATAAAGAACTCAGCTCTACAATAGTGAGATTTCAGCTCAGTGGCAATGGTTTTGCTATCAATACCAGAAAGATTATTTGTATATATGATCTTCATATCATCCATCTAAAACTTGACAATGAAAAGAGCCCTGATATAGCTTGGGTGTCTCAGAGGACACAGTTAGGACCCTAAGAGGCAGACCTGCCCCTGGTGCTAAGGAGAGTGGGGCCACTAGAGATTCCCATAGGAGAGGGGAGGTGTCTTAGTGGGAGGCAGTGAGGTTCTTAGATGAAACAGAAGAATCTTCACCAGGGTCTCCTGGGACACCAGCTAGTGAGAGTGAGACAGAGTACAGAAGCTGCTGCCACCCTGCTGGCTTCTCTTTGCCTAACAAATAGTGTACTTCAAAAAAACAATCTTCCCAGACATAACAGTCTCAAAAGAAAAAAGTAAAGGGTAAGGAAACAGGGATAGAAGACAACCTTGCTAATACTTGGAATACTTTCTCTCTAGCTCCACGTTTGTTCAGAAATAATCATCTCCCATGAGCAGAACTCTGCTTAGCACCTGAAGTCTGTCTTTGGTAGAAAATTGGCCATCCTTTTTTTTTTTAACCTATGCCCCAGGGCCTTTGTTCTGTCTAAGGCCTTGTTTTCTGTATTAGGAATCACAAGTGTAACCAGAGGCTACTGTGCTGTGCTTTGACATTAAAAGAGAAAGGAAAAACTTCTCTTTTGTGTAAGGCAGTGGTTCTCAACCTTCCTAATGCCGCGACCCTTTAATACAGTTCCTCATGTTGTGGTGACCCCCAATTTCATTGTTACAAATTGAAATAATTAAAGCATAGTGATTAATCACAAAAACAGTATGTAATTATATATGGGTTTTCCAGTGGTCTTAGGCGACCCCTGTGAAAGGGTCGTTCGACCCCCAGAGGGGTCGAGACCCACAGGTTGAGAACCGCTGGTGTAAGGGTTAAAAACTACAGCTTTGTGCCTCCAGGGAGCCTCTGTGATAAAGAGAGGAAGTGATAGCACAGATAGGGTCCTCTTTTGTTTTTTTCACTTTAAATGTTTCCTAAATAAGGAACCATTTAAGAGAAGAAACAGACCAGAGAAGTCCTCTGAAATAAAAAGGAAACTACCATTCACTGAGCATCTACTTTGTGCCAAGAACTGTTTACAAAGCATTCAAATGCTGTATTGCTCTTATTCTACCTGTGAAGTAGGTATGCATAAGAAAACATACAACACATTCTGAAAGGTCACAAAGCAGACCAGATAATTGAACACTGTCCTTACTCCATCTAGCCAGCGCAGACCTCATCCTCTTGGATTTCACTCATCCCTTGGAAAACCAAGGAATAGTGGGTGTGGCAGGAAGGAGGGAGGTAGGGTGAATTTCCATGTGAGGTGTAGGCGTGTGAATCATGGGAGGTGATTATTTCTGTGTGTTGGCCTCATTCATGCGTGTGTAATGAGTTCAGGTTTCCAACTTCAGGTACTTCATTGGGTTGACATTTGGCTTCTGGCCTAGAAAGAACTTTGTGAGAAAGGCAGAAAGAAGGCAAATTAAAAGTATTTTTATACTTATGGGCAGATACATTCCTATGAGTGGTTGCAGGGCCACACAGGGCAAAGGCAGAAGGAACTTTCAAGCTGTGGGCCACATGGCTAAAGCTGTACCAGGCATGTCAGGAATCCCAGGTATTCCATCCATAAGTGTCAAAGAAATGTACATATGATCTGTGTTATTCCCAAGTTGTCTATTTTTCATGACGCTTCAATGACTCATTTGCACACCTATTGTAATGACAGGATTTTGGAATGGCGGAGGAATTTGCTACTAAGGCCCTGGAGCTGAAACCGAAATCTTATGAAGCTTACTATGCAAGAGCAAGGGCAAAACGCAGCAGCAGGTGAGGAGAGAGAGAGAGGGTAAAAAGCAAGAGGTCTCTTTTCTGGAAATCTGGCCAAGGCAATGTAGGCCATCCTGGGGCATATGTACCCATGTGTGTCTATCCCTGAGGACTCGTAGGGCCACGCTCTGGGGATGGCTCCCATAGCAATACTCAGTTTAAGGTTGGCAAGTCTTCCGGGCTGTGGAAATCTAGCGCATTTTGCTTTGGGTGAAAAACGTCTTTTTCATGTTGGAGAGTGGGACCTTCTTTCAAGAACCCTCTGCCATCTCTCAATCGTGTTAACCCCCAAGCAGGTAGCATAAGGAGACACTGGCGACTTAGGAAGAGGTCACTTGGCGACATCCCCTCGACCCTTTCAGAGGGAAAAGTAGGATGGGTCACGTACATCACAGGCTCCTCTTTCTTTTCCTATAGGCGTTTGGGGAATCCCTGGATTTAGTCTTCATTGGGGGGCTCCCCTCAAGTCTGGTGGCATCAAACCTCTTTCTTACCTAAAGCCCTACCACCCACACCACAAACTCATGGAGACAGGAGGCCCTTGCTGCCAGGATTGAGGGGACCCACAATGGACTCCATCCCTCATGCCCATCTGCTGTGGTTTGGCCAGTGGGCAGGAAGGGTCCCAGAAAGACCTAGAACCTGCCATCAGTGATCTTCAGATAACTTGTCCCTGTCCTTGATGCCTCCTGCCAGCATCCCACCCTTTTTCCAAACTGCATGGGAAAGAACTGCTTCAGGCTCACTGATATAACCAGGGCGGGGATGTGGTCCTGGAAATCAAACCCAGGGTAAGCCCAGTGACGACAGTGGCAGTAATACTGATCGTAACTAGCTGGGGTAGTGAAGCTCTTCAGAAGCTTACTGTCAAGTTCTCTTTCCCACCGGATAATTCCTTCCCCACAAATCAAATGGCTCCTTTTCTGGGCAATATTAATAGAGAGAATGGGAAATCTTTGATAGTTCACGTCCTAATTTGTAAATTAGAATCTGAGCTGCCTAGTCAGCAAGCCTAATATCTTCCCAGCTTTGATGTAGCAGAATGGAGGAGCAATAGTGCTGTGGGATGAGGGGTAGGAAGGGCAGAAGACAGAGTTCTTGCCTAGGATGAAACAGGCCTGAAACTTGGAGCCAAAATATTAAGAATATAACAAAAAAATTCTGCTGGATCAGCAAGATTTTTAAATATTGTAGTTATTATTTTATTCCTAAGCTAATTGACAGTGACCCTGTAAATGACAACCCCACCCAACCCTCATACTGCCTGGTGTGCATTTGGGCACTAAGAGAATCTTCCTGAAGGGCCTGGCTGAACTGACAAAATGAGGACATTTCTTCACTAATCCCAGAGAGGCCAGAAGGAAGATGGAGGCAGAACGGGTTAGAGAATCATTCTGGACTCCTCTAGAATGACAGCCTACCTGTTTCCTTCCTTACAAATTAAATAAAACCAAAACCCCCCGACTCTGACAGATGCTCCCACAGTTCTCTGAAATAGTGACCATGTTCTCAGCTCTGGGTGATTCCTGTTGATTCAGAATAACTCCAGTTCCTGTGTTTACATTTTGTTAAGCAGACAGTTTGCAGCAGCCTTAGAGGACCTGAACGAGGCCATCAAGCTGTGTCCAAACAACCGTGAGATCCAGAGACTTCTGATGAGAGTGGAGGAGGAGTGTAGGCAGATGCAGCAGCAGCAGCAGCAGCAGCCACCGCCACAGCCACCCCAGCAGCAGCTACCAGAAGAAGCAGAACCTGAACCACAGCATGAAGACATATACTCTGTGCAAGACATTTTCGAGGAAGAGTACTTGGAGCAGGATGTTGAAAATGTTTCCATCGGCCTCCAGACAGAGGCACGGCCCAGTCAGGGGCTCCCGATCATCCAGAGCCCACCCTCCTCTCCAGCCCACAGGGACTCCGCCTACATCTCCAGCTCACCGCTTGGCTCTCATCAGGTTTTTGACTTCCGGTCCAGTAGTTCTGTAGGTTCTCCCACTAGACAGAGCTATCAGTCCACCTCACCTGCTCTTTCTCCAACTCACCAGAACTCTCATTACAGGCCTAGTCCACCACATACTTCCCCGGCTCATCAGGGTGGATCTTACCGCTTTAGCCCCCCTCCTGTGGGAGGGCAGGGCAAAGAATACCCAAGCCCTCCCCCCTCCCCTCTCCGAAGAGGCCCTCAGTATCGGGCCAGCCCTCCAGCTGAAAGCATGAGTGTCTATAGAGCCCAGTCTGGCTCGCCTGTGCGCTATCAGCAAGAAACAAATGTTAGTCAGCTTCCTGGCAGGCCAAAATCTCCATTATCCAAAATGGCCCAGAGGCCCTACCAGATGCCTCAGCTTCCTGTGGCGGTTCCCCAGCAAGGGCTCAGGCTACAGCCTGCTAAGGCCCAGATTGTGAGAAGCAACCAGCCCAGCTCTGCTGTTCATTCAAGCACTGTCATCTCCACAGGGGCCTATGGTCAGGTAGCCCACTCAATGGCTAGTAAGTACCAGTCTTCACAAGGGGACCTAGGAGTAAGTCAGAGCCGGTTGGTTTATCAAGGGTCAATTGGGGGGATTGTTGGGGATGGGAGACCTGTGCAGCATGTCCAGGCCAGTCTGAGTGCAGGCGCCATCTGTCAGCATGGAGGGTTGACCAAAGAAGACCTTCCACAGCGACCTTCCTCGGCATATCGAGGTGGCATGAGATACAGCCAGACACCACAGATTGGACGTAGTCAGTCCGCATCCTATTACCCAGTCTGTCACTCAAAACTAGATCTGGAGCGTTCCTCTAGCCAACTAGGTTCCCCTGATGTGTCGCATCTAATCAGAAGACCTATTGGTGTCAACCCCAATGAAATCAAACCCCACCCACCAACTCCTAGGCCGTTGCTGCACTCCCAAAGCGTAGGCCTTCGCTTCTCTCCATCTAGCAATAGTATCTCATCTGCCTCCAACCTAACACCTACCTTCCGGCCATCCTCCTCGATTCAACAGATGGAGATCCCACTAAAACCCGCATATGATAGGTCATGTGACGAGCTGTCGCCAGTGTCTCCCACTCAGGGAGGTTACCCCAGTGAGCCCACCCGATCCAGGACCACACCATTCATGGGGATCATAGATAAAACAGCCCGGACTCAACAGTACCCCCATCTTCACCAGCAGAGTCGGACCTGGGCAGTGTCATCAGTGGATACCGTTCTCAGCCCCACGTCTCCAGGCAACTTGCCTCAGCCTGAGTCCTTCAGCCCGCCATCATCCATCAGCAACATTGCCTTTTATAACAAAACCAACAATGCACAGAATGGCCATTTGCTGGAGGACGATTATTACAGCCCCCACGGGATGCTGGCGAACGGGTCCCGTGGAGACCTCTTAGAGAGAGTCAGCCAGGCCTCCTCCTACCCCGATGTGAAGGTGGCTCGGACCCTCCCTGTGGCTCAGGCATACCAGGACAACCTGTACAGGCAGTTGTCCCGGGACTCTCGACAAGGGCAGACATCCCCTATCAAACCAAAGAGACCATTTGTGGAGTCTAATGTTTAAAAGACATTTGTTGGAGTGAGACCCATATGTTTTCACTGCACATTTTTAGGCTTGGTTTCCACATTTGAGGTAGTTCTCTAGCTTAATTTCTCATGTAGTTTCTGTGTGGTGTTCAGAGGTGGCAGCCCACATGCTGAAATCCTTTGCATGCAGCCGACTGGGAAGCTGGCCTCCAGTGAGCCAGGACTTCAGTTTCTCTTGCTGTGCCCAGCCACATGCTCTCTCCCTCTCTTCAGATGCCAACGAGGAGATTGTTGTGCCGTGTGCTTTAACCCAGGGAGATCAGACACACTGGTCAGCTTTTTCCAGGAGACAATCGCTTTCACTGATGTTCTTGTTGGTTGTGTAAATGTCTTTCTCTTTTTTTTTTTTTTATTAACAAAAATAAGATGTTCTTGTTCGTTTTCTTCCAGGAACTTTAGAAAGAGTGTGATGCTCCCTTTGTCTTTGCACTCTAACCCCGTGTTTTCCAGATAGCCAGCCCCAGTGCATTCTGGTGCCCTGGTCTCCCCTACTGCCAGCTCCCTGCAGTCTTCAGGTCTTGAGTGTTCCTTTAGGTTGTTGCTGGTCTTCCTGTGTGGGTGAAAGGATCAAAGAGAAAGAGAAGAAATGTCTGTTAAATTAGAAGAAAAAACACACCAATGTAATTATTTGAAATAACCACTACATTTATTTTCCAAGAAGTATTTTAACAACATTTTAAAAACAACCAGCTTTTTAAATATTTTGGTCAGCCAAAAAAATTGGATAAGAATCATGGATAATTTTTAATAATTCACTGAAAATTATTCTTTAGATGTTTAGCCAACGATTACCATTAAAAACTACTGATTTTCCATGGGTGAGGGAGGAAATAAATAAATATGTAGGAAGAGAGAGAGAGAAGAAAAGACTGTTCTGGATTCTCATTGAAAGGCTGTAGGAAATCTTTGGAGAAATCCCCCTTTAGATCCTGAGCATCAGATTCCACAAAAAGTAAACTGAAGATTGGCTGGTGCAATAATCCTGTTTGGTGGATCGTCGCCTGGAGCTAGACTGTGTTACTGGCCCTCTTTTTTTAAACCCAGATGGTATTTAGTGAAGAAATTGGTTCTTTGAGAAACAAATTGAATTCTCATGGGACTAAAAGACTTGTTTCCAGAATTTGCACCCAGGGCCATTGCAGTTTGTGCCAGATGTTGTCTCATTCCATTTTGAGATCTATAGTTTCATTATCTATTGTTTCTTTTTTTAGGTAGGAGTGTTCGGGGAGTGATATTTTGAAAACCAGGCACCACAAAGTGTCTCCTTTCAGGGTGAAGAAGGCCCCCTTTCAGCCTGGGTGGGGGTACATGAGATACCAGGTCTTCTGATCCAGGCACCCTCCACCCTTCTGTGTCTCTTGCTAAGCTGTCCCCTGAGGGGCTGAGGCCAGCATGGGATGAGCGGCAAGAACACTGAAAGCCAAAGCCTTAGCATAGGCCTGGCCCTGAGTGCTTATCAGTTCTTAGAGTTTAACCTTCTAAACAAGTCAAACTCAACAAAAGAGAATTCGTTCTCTGTTATGAGGAATCACTGCTCTTGTTTGTAAAGGGCTACAGGTAGGGCAACTTCCTGAATAAAAATTCACATGGGCTCAGACCAGTTTGTAATAGTAAGTGTCCTCTGAAAGCATCGCTCCAACATGCTTGAAGCATGAAATTGAGACCAGAAACACTTCTTTACTAATTTAGATTCTACCAAATAGATGGACCCCCCCTCCGCCTGCAAGCCTGAAATAGGCCGGGACTTGACCCTATGCTAGAGGCAACAGCTGGGCTAACTCAAGACCCAGACTCTTTCTCTGATGCCAAAGGACTATCTGCTCAATGACAGCAGAGTGGGCATCAGCCTCTCTCTCTCTCTCTCTCTCTCTCTCTCTCTCTCTCATCAAGAAGATGAAAATGTACAGCATTAGTACAGCCTACAGCTGGGAGCCCAGCAGCCTCTCACTCCCTCATTGTCCAGGTCTTAACCCTGTTGGGCTTTCTGCATCTTATCCTTTTTAACCACCTCTCACTGAGGAGCCGCTGCTACATTTTGAAAAATTTCTCAGTGTCTTAGAAAAGTGCCCCTGCTTATTTGGAACAAGACACATACATCTGTACTCCCCTGTCTAGGTGGGTGAACAGGTTCTGTGATTTTATAAATATGCTACTTCTCCCCACAGTCTCTCTTTCGGTTTTCCAGGATAAACAGGAAATTTTAGGGTCTGTGTCTCATTGGGCAGAACACCTAAAATGTCGACAAAATACAATTTGTTTTTAACCATTGGAAGAGGGAGTGAATATCACTACTGGGCGCCAGTTGTTTTTGCCTACAAAATGCCCACTGGACCTTATAGGGGAGGAGACAGAGTTCTTCCTTGTAAGCAGACTGCCTGTGCCCTGTTTTGCTACTTCACTGCCATGGGATGATCTTAGTACTGTACCTGAGAGTTGCCCCTCTCCCAACAGCATTTGCTGAATCAATGTCTGGCTTCAGGTGGGGCAGGGGGAGGGGGATTTTTCATATGAAACCAGTAAGTTCCTCTCATCCTGTTCACATCACCCTGAAATGGAGACAGTGGTGACCAACTTCAGCTTATAGGTTGTACGTTCCGTTTGCCCAGAATTCTTGCACTAATAGGTTTCCATCACGTCATGTCTATAAATGGGTGCACTTTACTGTTTGAATTTGTGACTCTAATACTGGATATTTAAGTGTGAGTACTGTCTTCATTAGAAAATAGCAAAAACGCTCTTGTCTTTTAGTGTGTTTTTCAAGGAAAAAAAGGAAAGAAATCAAGCAGTGGATCACAACATTTATAGCACAAGAAATAACTTGTATATAAGCATCAAAAAGAGTAAGAATTTTTAAATACAAAAAAATATTTGCAGTGATTTTAAAGTGCTTTTCCAGCAATGTTCTTAGGGACTCCTGAGACATGGTTACTTTATTTACTGGATCAGTAAGGCACACAATTAACAATTAAAAATTAATGTTTATTTACAAAGTAAAGGGAAAACCTGTGTAACATGAGAATTTGGCATGGACAAAATGGAGACCATTTTGTATTTGCTGCTGTAGCTTGCCCAGGTCGCAGGCGTGCACTATTAAAGTCCCAAGTTAATAGAGCACAAGCCCTTCTTGTTCTCCCATGTGCCCTCTTTTTAGATGTGTTTAACTTAAACTCGAAGGCTCAGGAAAATTCCACTTACTAGAATCATGTACAGTACCCCAGGTTGTTGTCCAGAGATACAAGTTGGCTGATTTAGTTAAGCCTGGATTACTAAACACTCTTCCTAAATTATTGTAAACAGAACAGCTTAGAGAAAGGTATTCTTAGTCCTTATATTGTATAGTAGTTTATGAAACCCTCTCTAAATATTGGTATTTTTGTATTCCAGAGATGTACCCAATAGAAAAATTAATCAGTATCTAATTTCATATCCTTAAGTATTTTCCTTAGATTTTAGTCCTAGACATTGGGTTCTGTGGATGTCACCTTGTTTCACCATACTTTACCACTAGGTGTCACTGGCTCCGCACCAGGCTTGTCCAGTAGCAAAGAAAGGCAGCATCTCCTCCAGGGGCTGCCTCTAGGGCAGCAGGCTGGCCCATAGCTCCGAGGGTCCAGGAAGGCAAGCAAAGGTCTGGAAAGGGGTCTTCACACATCTGCGCCGGTTGTGAAGATGAGCTCTTTGAACACCCTGCTTTGGACCTTCAGCCAGGCAGAGGCTGGGAGAAGGTTGGCCAGAACTCCCTTGCTCTGGTGGATGGATGGGTGTGTAGAAGACCCCTTCTTCCCCATGAGCACCCATCTCAGTCCCTCTTGGCCTCCAACTTTTTATTAACTCCAGAAGTGTCACAGTTGGATGGTTTGATTCAAAGATAGTTATTTTTCTACTGCAGAAATGCTTTGGACAAAACCAGTTGGTCTCTGAATCTTTGCCACTAAATGGAACAGTCTCTCCTGGGGGGTCAGGATGTGCCTATCCCTGTCCCAGTCTCACCCACCCTGCCTCTCTGTCCCTGGGCTGCCCACTTCCCAGGCTAACCTGCAAGGCAGCCTGCTGCTGCTCCCGCACAGAGGTCAGAGCTGCCCTGTTGCATGTGCATTGGGAGGTGTGGCTTTTTCTCCTTTTCCTTTAGGAATTCCAGACTGACCATCTACCATGACTAACAACAGTGAACAAAGGGCTTAGGGGTAAGAGCTACCTACAAAGACGTGTCATGGAAACCTTCACCATGCAATGCCTTGAACTCAGCTCTGGCTGCTCCCGAGAACAGGTGGCTGGCTGGGGGCCTGGACACAAGCACAATGGGGCTGGTGGAGCCATGTGCAGCGCTACTTGAATCACCACCGGGTCTTCATCAACTCCTTTTATAACAGACCACTCAAGGGCTGAAGTGTCGGTAACCTGCATTTCGGTGTCCAATGCCTCACAGCAGCTGAGCCACCCTGAGATGATGTGGCCACATGATGGCCACAGTCAGAGCTTTGAAAGTCAGTACCAAATGAACGCATAATTGGACACCAAAAATCAAGTGTTACTTTCATGTTTCCTCACCCGCCTCATCTCATTTCTTCCTGCTGACTCTGTGATAGCTCCACTAAGCTGACCCGTCAGGTTCTAGCTGGATGCACGTCCTAGTAGGTGCAGGCCAGCATCGCTGTGTTTTTTCAGACAGACCTACTCTGTGGAAAGGAGCCTAGCTGCTTTGTTTTCCTAGCACTTGCTGGCTGGACTTTTCTTTTGCCTAATCACTAACCAAAACACTTGGTTAGGGGGACGCAATCAATCCCTTCTGTCCCTGGGACCAGACAGAGTTAATTCTGGAAATTTCAGTACTTGAATGTACCTGCCTTATTGTGTACCAACTTAACTGGAAGAAAGTTAGAAATGCTGGCTCTAGATCTCTACTTCATTCACGGGTTACTTTGGGAGTCTGTAAGTTACACTTCCTATTCTGGTTCGTTCCTCTGTTTCGTTTTGTTTTCCTTTGGCTGATTCCTGCCGAGTGGGGCCGGTTCCTCGTCAGGCTCAGGACGGGGGCCGTTCTCAGGCGTGGCCTCCCTTCCGTACAGCACAGCATCTCCGTCTCTGTTCTGTCTCCTCCAAATCCAAGATGGTTTCAATTAGTACAGACATGTACAGTCTACAATTAAAGAGTGATTTGTACTAATCTGATTTTGATTCTTCCTCCTTTTGCTGTCCTTTCAAGACACTTGCTGGAAAAAGCTTTAATGCACTTAGTTTCCTTTAGGTTTTCTATAACTCGGATGTAAAGGACTTTCTCTGTACAGTATATATTATCCAATGCATGTTTGTTCTCTATCCTGATATATTGAACACCACACAGTTGTGAACTCGTGCCGTGGGGAGTCCCACACCCACCAGAGGCGTCTAGCCCCCGTGTATAAGGAAGGCATTTCCTTTGCTGTACTTGCTTGAGCAGTTTTATTGTCTGTACATGTGAGCTGTGTGAGATAGATGTGAAAAGTTAAGTGAATGCATTTTCCTGCCCATGTATACAGATCGCCATCTGTACAATGAACTGTATGTATGAAAGCAAATGTACTTATTTATAAATGGGTAACACTTGGAAAAAACATGGCGTTGTGGTGCTTTCTCCTTCCGTGACCTCTCCAGGCAGCTGGCTCAGGCTCACCCTCACTGAGGCCTGCGGTGCCAAGGAAGCTCCTGAGGACGACTCCACAGGTTAAGGCGAAGGCCAAAAGCGAGATGATTTGGTTGGTCTCCTGTGAGACCTTCCGAATCACCCCTCAGGCTGTGCTCACTGGTTGAAGTGCTTGAGCACCTCCTTGGAGTTGGACACGGATAGGCCCTGGAGAACCGTGGACAAGAAAAGGCCGTCAGAGGCCTGTCCGCCGAGGCTCACCGCGTGATGAGAAAGGAAGGCTTTTTCTTCAGTGGAAGAGTTTTTCTCCAGCCACACCACGCGAGCACTGACCTCGGTTCATTTGAATAGCTGAGGTGAGGCTGCATCCAATCCAGCTACCGTCCCAAAACTGCAGGCTGAAGCGACTGCCAGTTAGAGCTGCTAGGTTAGAAGCTGTGCCCGAGGGTCGGGGGCAGCCCTAGCTGTCCCAGGACTGGCTCGGTAAGCGCTGGGAACCCACTGCTTCCAGTGGCTTTATATTTTTTTCAGAAATCTGGCCGGAAATTCCAGTCCTCACCATGCAGACAGCTAGGCAGATGCACTGTGAATGGAGAGGCTGCAGATTTCCTGAAATTGGCTGTGGAGACTCATTATCTTGCTTACAAAGTGGCCAGCACTGAGTCCGGCCACCTTTCCTGCCTAGCTCCTACCTCTTTACTTCAGGGACAAGCAAGGAAGGAGACCACTTCCTCTAGACACCGGATCGTGCTGAACAAACATGCCTGCTGGGTAACAACTTCCATTTCCCCCACACAACCTACGCTGGGGAGCAGGAAACCAGGGGTGCCCCGCCATCCCGGCCTGGACACCAGGACTGTCGGGAGAGGAGAGGACCCGAAGGACCCACCTGCTCGGTCTGAAAGCCATTCCTGGGCGGCCAGTTAGCTCATTAAAAATAAAAAACGAGTAAGTGGTTGGCAAGAGGGGAAAAAAGCCTTTTAAGGATGCCTGGGACATTGGAAGAAAGCTGAAGGTAGTGATTCCTAAAAAGCTAATTCTTAAAAAGGAACTTACCCTGAACCTGACTAAAGAAACAGCAGCAGCAAACAACAAGGTTTTTGTCGAATCCCAGAATTCCCGAATCAGACCATCTTCCCCTTATTTTCATTCCCCACAGGCGCCCTTTAGCAGCTCCTGTAGCACAGTGCCCCGCTGCACACGGGCGCACAGGTAGCCAGACCCCCTTCCACAGGCAGAGATGGGGGGCGGCACGCAGCATCATCCCCTCAGCTTTAAAAATGGGAGCTGGAGGAGTCTCGAGAAATTTGGGGACTGAGTCTGTCTGTTCCCAGGAACAAGGATGGGCGTTCATAACAAGTGTATTGTGTCTGGAAGGCCCTGTGGTGAAAGGGGAGGTCCCCCAGAGGCCATGTTCAGAGCCCATGGTGCTGGGCTGTTCTCGAGACACTGTGGACAGGGACTATATAGGTTCTCTAATTTTCTTCACGTAACCTCTGACAGATGGCATCATTCTCTCCAAAACACAAATGCAAATGCAGATCCTGAGACCTTAAACTGAGACAGGCAAAGGTGGGACTGACTCAGACCTGCCTGCACGGGTTCCCTGTGCCAGGCTGCCCACTTCTCAGAAGGTGACCCACGAAGCAAGCAACCTGAACAACTGCAGGAGTAAGGGCAGCAGGTCAAGAAGGACGCTTGCTGCTTTGTGCTCCTTTGGAGGAACAACTCTGCCGGGGTCAAGAGGAGTCACTTGGCACCTGTGGGGGCTTCCCGGCCCCGTGAGGAGGTGGGTCCCTCCTGAGGGGGTGAAGGAGTGGCATTGGAGGGAGGGGCCTCACCCTGTCTGGATCCTTTGAATGTTCACAGACACAGAGACCCTGAAGTCTCAGAGGTTTGCACAAAGGCCAGAGAGGGCACACTCACAGGTGTGGTGCCTCTGCCCTCGCCCCGAGAGCCCGCAGCCCTGACCCTGACTGAGCTCAGCTGTGGCGTGTATCCAGCAACGTGCTTTGCATGCTTTTAAGCAAATGAAGGTCCACAGAGAACCTTGATTTGGGAGACTCTTCAGCTGCATAAAACAAAGACCTCTGCAGCTCTGGCTCAGACACCACACTGAAAAGGAAGGAACTGTTAGGAAGACTCTGTGTCAACAAAGGACTAGTTGCCACATCAGAGGGTTTGCTGTAGGGTCCCGTGGAGCGGGCTACGTTGTGGAGTCGTTTTAAGTGCTTTTCAGGAGCAGACGGTGTATTCCGTTTGGCAAGATCCCACCCAACGTTCCCAGAACCTCTGTTCTCAAGGCTTTGCTCTTAAGGAATAAAGAGGCATATTTTTAAAAAGAAAAAGGTTAATGGAATACTGGGGGGAACTTCTTGCTGAGGCCTTATCAGCCCCTTACAGCTCCACCGTGCAGGCCACTCAGGGGTGAGAAAGGGGTTTCCCTCATCACATGGAAGAGCCTCCCACCAGCCGCGTGCCTGGGCCGAGCTGGGCTGATAAATATCATTAGTCATGACCTGTGTGCCCAGCCCGGGGACATCCTACTTCTCTCCACCGGCAGAACCGCCTTCACGTACCTGACTGCCAAAAGCACTGGCTCCTTATTGCCACAATAAATGACGATAGCAGGCGAGACATCTGCTGTAGACATTTATTAAATCTCCTGTTGCATCGACACGACGTTATATTTCACAAAAGACTGGCCACAGGCAAATACAATAAACTACGCGGGTCAGCTTTCGGGGCTTTTTGCTCCGTCGTCATCCAACATACACTTTGGCAAACAGACTGGTTTACCGTTTCTCTGAGGCATTCGGCAGGGGAGATACAGTTTCCTTGGGTAGTTTGTCTAAGGTGGAGTTTTCTCACATGTAAACATTGACTACACAAGCGAGTGCCAGGTGATGAAAGAATTGATGAGGCTGGGCCCCCACTGAGTGCACAGTCTAAACGAGCCAACACCCTCATCCAGGCGAGCTGCAGGGGAGGCAGGAGGGGCTGGGTGGAGCCCACGCCGGGGAGGGCCCTGGACCACAGCCACCCGCTGAGAAGCGGCCTCGCTGGAGGCACTGAGTATCAGAAATCGGAGCAGTAGAGGAGACTACCCCTTTCTCCAAGGCAGCATGTAGCTGTGAAAAGGCAACGGTTAAGAAAACACACTCTAGATTTGGAAATGTTAACTTCTTCATGTAAGTAAACCGTGTCTGTCTCAAACTGTGTCATGCTCCTCACAGCCCAGAAAATCAACAAAACAAGGAGAGAACACTCGCCAAGTCCAAGCACAAGATCGATGCTCTAATCACGTTATTTCTAGACTGAAGCCAAACAGTGACTCAGCTAACAGCACAGCACATGTGTGGGGTTGGGGGGTTACTGTGATTCCGACTCAGTCCCCACTTCCTGCAGAGATGGGCCCTGGAAGGTGAGGGCAGATGAGGCTGTCCTCCGGGACAGAAGCGGGCAGCCCCGCCGCCCCACTGAAAGGGAAAGGGGGCCGGAGGAGCAGCTTTTCATTGATAAAAGGGTGGTGCCCTCAGCCTCTGGTCAAAGCAGTGCCTGCCTGGCTGGTGAGCATGGACAATGGGAGCCGCAGCTGCAAGGTAAGCCACCACCCACAGCAGCCTGCGCAGGGGCCCTCTCCCTCCTCTTCAGCCCCAGCCCCTCTCCCAGCAAAGCCATCCTGAGGCCAAAGAGCTAAAGAAGGGAAGGCTGGAGAGCACAGCTGGGCGAGAGCTGTCTCCAGAGCTTCCCAGGGGCCAGTCGCGCCCCTCTCCAGGGGAGCCGCACTCTGAACACCCACATAGTTTACAGATAATATCACTTGCTCCACTGCCAAACACCAGGCTCATTCGGACCACATGTCCCCGCAGGCTAACGAGACTCCTGGCTTGAATTCAGTTGCACAAAGCAAGTCTTGGCTCTGCCGGGCCTGCCGCTGAGGCCCAGTGCCCCCACAGCCCGAGGGCTCGGCTCTCACCCACTGCCTCTACTGGGGGAGCCGCTCTCCGGCTCCTTCAGGGGTCTGAGCTTCTGCGATCACCCAAACACCTACTCAAAGCTTCTCTATTTGAGGGGGTGATGGGGGCACAGGGGCAGGGGCTGCGCAGGACTAACAGGGCACTAAAGCATCAGTGAGGAGGGGAAGCAGAGGTGGCCACGCCCTACAGCCCGGAAACCATTGCTCAAAGAGGCAGGCTGCCCCACGGTCCCCACCCACTCCGGTCCCCACCCGCTCTGCCCAGCATCCCGGGAGCCAGGAATCCTGAAGGCAGCCCCCGAGGCTGTGGGAGAGACACCTGTGATAACGGGACCGAGGAGGCCCCACACTCAGGCCCCGCCACCCCCGCAGGGCCTGAGCAGCCTGTCACTGGGAGCTGGGGCTGTCGCCCTCCGTCAGTGTCTTGAAGTCCATGGAGAGGGCTTGCTCTTCGGCCTGGGGGGGCCGCTTCCATTCGGTGCGAGTCAAGATGTAGAGCACGACCAGAGCAAAGCCAGCCAGCAGCAGCCCCAGCACGTTGGCCAGGACACCCTCAGGCTCAAACGTGCTGTACTTGGTCCTGCAGGGTCAGGGTGGAAGGGAGAAGCCACCCCCGGGGTCACCATTAGGCCACATGCCATTCACGCCTGAGCCAGAAAGATGCCTCGGTCCAAGCCCAGCCCCTCCCTCCCCCACCCGGAGAGAAAGCCACTGGGTGGCTCACACAGAGAGCTGGCTCAGAAGGCAGAGGTCCAGGGGTCAGGCACTCACCCGAGTTTAAACAGCAGCGCCTCCTTCAGGCCCAGCAGGGCTGTGCCCACAGACAGCAGGAAGATGGAGGCGCCAAAGAAGATGTGCAGTGGGCGATAGCGGCTCCGCAGGGAAAACGAAGCTCCAGGGAACAGGAAGAAGCTGAAGCCCACCAGCCACTGGAAGGGACGGCGAGGAGGGGACCACGCTGCCCATCGGCTCACCAACCGAGGACGCCAAGCCGGACGGGAACCCCTCACCCCTCACCCATCCACTGGTTTCCTCCACCGTCAGAGCGGTGGGCGGGGAGCAGCGAGCACTCGGGGTAAGGTCCTGGCCTCAGGCCTGTGTCCTTCGTCATTCCTGCACCCTCGGAGGGCTGGGCCTTGGCCAAACTACATGGGTGTCAGCTGGAAGGGCACTGGGATCCAAGGCCCCTCACCCCTAAAATCCTGGCTTATACCCATCTCAGAATCTGAAAGCAGGATCCAGCTGTACTACAGGACTTTCACCTGTGGGCACACACCCTGGACAATGGGGCCCACTGAGGCACACCCACTATTTTAGCCCCTTCCTCCTTCCTCCCCACTCCTCTGCCCGCCCCACCCCGAGCTCGCCCTGCCCCCTGGCGCCCCCCCCCCCCCCCCCCAGCTGTGGGGCGGAAAGGACTCACCTGCACAACATAGAGAACAAAGGCAAGGATGCCACACCAGCTGTGCAAGCTGTACAGGTCAGCATAGCCCTTCTTCCGGTGGTAGGCGAACACTGCCACCAGGCCTGGACGGAGACAGGGGTCATGTGAGGATGGGCCAATGCGGGAAGGGAGAGGGCCAGGTGACCCAGGAGAAACCTGACTAGCCGGGACTTCCGGGACTTCTGGGCTCCCATCCCAGCACCCAATGTCCCCGCCCCGCCTGGGACGCCTGGAAGGCCGGGAGGCAGGGCTGTGCCCGGGAACTCACCCACCAGGGCGATGATGAAGGCAAAGCCGTGCAGCAGCCCGTGCAGGATTTTGGTTGTGCGTTTGGCCTCGTTCCTGAAGACGCGGTAAACCAGCAGGGCTATGGGAGTGAGAAAGGGAGTCAGCACCCTCACGAGCACCAGGCCTTCCTGCCAGAGCAGCAAGGAGACACCCATGGCTGAGAGTTGATCTGAGTCAAGGGCTGATCCAGGTACCCCAGCCGCAGGAAATGGAGGAGAAAACTGGCTCCATGGGGCCCAGCTGGTCCGACACCTTCTTGTCGGGCGCCCTGTGTATCCCAGGTTGAGTGTGAGGTTCATCATGCAGTCACACGGAGATGCCCCAAGCTTCTGAGCTCCCCTTATGGCTGTGAGGGTCCTCAAACAGTCCAATATTGAAGCCTGATCAGATATCCACTACTTTCAGCAAGAAGGGCTGGGACCTCGCTCCTACCCAGAGAGAGGACTGTCCAGCATTCCTCACCCGCCCTACACACACTCACTATTCCCCCAACTTCAAACGGGGCCACAGAAGGCAGCTCAGCGCCCAGCCCCGCCCCTGGGCTCCTCCCTGTGAAGCGCACACACCGTTGGGGGCTCCTTATTGAAGCCGGAGGTGGAAGAGCCGGACACGTTGGAAAGGAGGAGACACCACCACTGGCAGGGCTCCTGTCTGGACTCCCAGGGTCTCCAGGCCCCTCTCTACCTGTCTTTTCTAGAATCTTAGATCTAACAGCGAGAGACCTCAGGGGTGATGGGGTCGCAAAGCACCTCTGTGGGAGCGGCTCCGGGGAGCCCGCAGGACTCACCGTCTCCCTGCAGGAAGACCAGGCCTATGACCATGCAGAGCGGGTGCACGTTAAACTGCAGGGCGCTCTCCCAGGCAATGCCTCCCCGGTACAGACCCAGCCAGGCGCCGGTCACTGCCACCACGGTGAGGCCCAGCAGCTGGGAGAAAGCCACACAGTAGGACAGCCCTCCAGGGCGGGGGCTGGCACGGCTCTCCATGCTGAGGCGGCAGCTGCAGGAGAAAGACAGCAGAGCTCAGGGGACCCCCACAACCTCCAAATGACACGGCCCAGGATCCCCAAGGCGCCCCCCTGCCGTCCCCCACTCTGCCGCCCCACACCCCACACTCTGTGCTAATGTGCTCACCAGCCTCTCCCAGCCCCTTCCACACCCACCCCCCACTTTCTGAGAGCAGCTCAGTGGGAGTGCCGGCTGTCCTAACAGGAGGGAGCTGTTAATAACACACACTGCCTACAGTAAAATACAAATAAGCAAAAAGAAAACCTACAGAAACTCAGCATTTTGATTTACATCCTTTTCTTCTAGAAATGTATATGCATTCTTTTACAGAAACAGGACCACACCAATTTCTAACCTGCTTTTCTTTCTTTAATCCTCACCTAAGGACATGCTTTTATTGTTTTGAGAGAGGAAAGGAGGGAAGGGGGGAGGGAGAGGGAGAGGGAGAGGGAGAGGGAGAGGGAGAGGGAGAGGGAGAGGGAGGGAGAGAGAGAGAGAGAGAGAGAGAGAGAGAGAGAGAGAGAGAGATCGAAGTGAGAGAGAAACATCGATAGGCTGCCTCCCACACACGGCCACCAGAAAGGAGACTGAAGCCGCAACCTGGGATGTGCCCTGACCGGCAATCGAACCCCCCACCTGTGGGTATACAGGACAGGACGCTCCAACTGACTGCCCCCCCGCCCCCCTCCCCCCCCCTCCCCGAACCCCGCCGCCAGGGCTAGTCTGCTTTGTTAACTTAATAGTGAACCTGGCACGTGTTCACTTGTTAAACATCAGCCAGCCCTCAGGGTTCTTCTTTGCACACCTGCCTGGTTAACTCCTAACTGGGGGAATGGAGTCCCGAGGGGAGGGCCAGGTGCTTTTTAGGTCTTAGGTACATTCTGGCAAGTCATCTCCCAGAAACACGGCCATGGTGGTGGGAACACCTGTGTCAGAAACCCCGGCACACAGGGAACCTCTCGCCTCTGTCCTTACCTGTTGCCTCTACACTGGTGACTCCTATGGCTGGTGCCGGTTCTGTCCTCTCCCCCAAGTCAAACCCGTCTCACTGTCCACTAACATCTCTACCTGGACATCCTGACACATAGCCCATCCGAAGCCGCACTCCTCTCCCGACCTCCCAGGTGCCCAGAGCGGCCGTCTGTCTCCTCCTCGTCCCAGCGCAGACAGCCCACCCAATCCGGGGGTCCTCCCCAGGCCTCTCCCCATCACATCCCTCCTGGCCACCTTCACTGTCACCACCCCCAAGCCAGGGCACCGAGCTTCTGCCCCACCTCTCTACCCTCTTCAGTCTGTCTGACCCGCCACACGAACAGCCGCTCACTCCCCGCCAGTGAAATGCCAACTGATCCTCACTGAAATGCACATGATCCTCATCGGGTTCCACCTGCAGCCCGAGTCCGCTCAGGGGGGGCTGTCACTGTTCCTGGGTCTGATGACACAACCTGTGTTATTCCTCCACTTCACACTCCCGGGCGCCGGGACCCCTGCTCCCTGCGACTGCCCCCTCTTCCCCTCCTGCCACCCCCCCACAACCTGAAATGGGCGCGTGCTCATCACTTCATCCCCCTCCTCCGTGTCCCCAAGGCTGGCCTGGCGCTTGCTCACCCTTGTTGGTGTCCTGCTTCCTGTGCTCCCGCGGCCTCTCTGCTAGCAACCCTGTGAGCTCCTTGAAGGCAGGGAGTGCGCCTCACTCTTCTGTGTCCTTGGGGTCTAGTCCTTGCCTGACTCCAACAAGGAAAATGTGCCGAAGAGAAATGCTGTCCTGTCCTTTATTAGATTCACCCCAGCGAGCCCGGGCGGCCAGAATCTGATTAGCTCTGAATTAGAAAGGACAGCAGGAACCTGCTCTGCCCCCTGGGCCACGCCTCCCTCATCCAAGGGGGACGAACAGCAAGAGCAGAGTGGACACTCCAGCAGCCAAGGACGGTCAGAGCAGCATGGGCACTCAGGCGGCCGAGGACGGTCAGAGCAGCGTGGGCACTCAGGCGGCCGAGGACGGCCACGGGGACTCGGAGCCGCTCTGTGAGGCCAGCCAGAGCCAGCGTTTTTCCCGACCAACCAGTTTCCTAAGGAGACAGGCAGAGTGGAGGGAAGGACGGGGGACTTCATCACCAGGGAACCCCTCCTCTGTCCTCAGCACCCCCCACGTCCTCCCATGTAGTCTTTGCAATAACACCATGATAATAGTATTATCCCCATTTGACGGGTGAAATTGGGGCTCAAAGAGGATAAAGGACGTGCCCCAAATTATCAGCAGCAAGTAGCTGCTCAACTCAGTTGTTTGCTGAGCACCTCCTACAAGCCGGACGCACTGCTGGAGGCTGGAACCACACAGGAGAGGCCCTGCCTGCAAGGGGCGAGTAGGTGACTTGCAGAGCAGATGCAGATTTTAAAGCAGCCATGGGCAAACTACGGCCCGGATCCGGCCCAAATAAAGACCGTACCCTTTTATGTAATGATGTTTACTTTGAATTTATATTAGTTCACACAAACACTCCATCCATGCTTTTGTTCCGGGTCCAGTTTAAGAACCCACTGTGGCCCTCGAGTCAAAAAGTTTGCCCACCCCTGTTTTAAAGTAAAAGGTCAGTAAGAATTCAAGCCACGAGTTAAACTCGGGCTCCAAGCCCCCCCCCCCCCCCCCCCGCAGAAAAGCACCTCCCTCCTGAAAACGCTCAGCGGCGCCCCCTCTGGATCGCCAAGGATTGGCTGTCTGTGGGTGTTGTGACTTTGCCCATTCTGATGCCCAGTCACTAGGGTACAGCTGTCACGCTTTCCAAATACTGAAGCCAATCCCGGATCTGAATGGGTGCTGGCCAAGGAAGGTGCTTTGAAGCAGGGCTCCAGGGCAGTCTCTCCCCGTCCTCCTCACCCAGGGGGAACCATGCTCCCAAGGCCATTCAAACCCACATCCCATGACCACTGGCGCCCCCTGTAGGCTGAAAAGCCAGCAGGGTGGGAACAGAAGGTTAAGAGAGCAGGGATGGCAGAAGGCTGGTGTCCAGATCTTCGTGTCAAATGCTCCAGAGGCAGCCCTCCTGGTCCACATGGACCCCTGGTAAGTAGGCATCCAGCCAGAGACAAAGAATGGCCTTTGGAATTATGGAGGCCCAATCTGTTTCCCCGTCCCCTTCCATTCTGAGGGTGATTCTCAGTCCAGGGATGAGGGGCGACAGAAAACTCACACCAAGCAAGACCAGCCTACCTCTGGCAGGCCTGTGCCTGCCGCCTACAGGTGACCTAAGCGTGAAAATCCAGATTTACAGAAAAGACAGAGCAGTGAGTGGTTCTGTGTTTTGTAGACGATGAGCTGGAGGATGCCATCGGCAACGGCACTTCCCCCTTGCTTATGTCATTCAACAAAACTGACAACCGATCTTTGTGCAAAGAGGGGCTGCTTCCAATGATGTCGGGGGTTCAGAGGAGACATTTCCAGGCTGGATGGAATCCCACCTACCCACAAGCACATTTGCATTTGAAACTGTGAAATCATTTGAGACGCTCTCCCTGGTAAGCACATGCCTTGGGGTCATGCTCCTTCCTTTCCCAATGGGGAGATCAAGGACACTTCGTCCTTCTTTCCCAGCTGGGTTGGCCCCCCAGAACTCTGGCAGTCGTGGGCCTCCCTTGTTCCCAGAGCAAAATGTGGGCGGCAGCTTCGAAGGCCTGGAAGCAGAAGCTCTCCATCCCAAAGGCTTCCTCTGCCCAGACCAGTCTTGGAGCCGGAGGGGCCCATGCAGCCCCTCGAATGGCCACCGCTCTTCCTCTGTCAGAGCACAGGACGTGGCGCCAGACCCTCGCAGCTCCTGCACAGCCGCGCCTCCCTCCATGTCCACCTGAGCCAGGCTCCACTTAATGAAATCAGCCGGGACAGGAGCCGCCCGCAGGGCTCGAACGTGCTGAGCACCACTCTCCCCCCCCCAGGCCACTGTTTCATTAAAAGGTCGCCAGGCCTAATCTCATTGTGGGGACCAGACACTGCGCACGTCCTTTGGCCTGGCCGCTGCCCTTCTTATCAACAGCAGGGCTTTAACTGGGTTAGGTAGACCGTGCTGGGGGTGGGGCTGGATCTTTTCTTGATGGGCGGGGGTGGGGTGGGGGGTAAAGCTCAATTTAAACGAGGCCTGCGGCCTGCCGGCCTTGAGTTTGACATGCTGGCCCTAGAGTGTCCTAGAACAGTGGTCGCCAGCCGGTGGTGCGTGAGGTCCGAAAGGTTGGCGACCACTGTCCTAGAATATGATGAAGGAGAGGCAAAACGAGGGCTGAGCTGCGAGGCAGGGCACTTTCTTACCAGCCCACCTCCCAGGAGCCCCCAGGAAGAAAGCTGAGCTGAAAGTCAGACACTGGGTCCAGTTCTCCATTAGGTACAGGGACTCAGTGCCAGGGCTCCATTACTTGTAGGGACGCTCCCCCCCAAAAAAGTCTTGATTTCTGTTAAAATCAGGAGGAAAAATAAAATTTTAGGGTTGAAGAAAATGTTTTAATTTTTAATCCAGTCTGGATTATATTTGTCTTTAAACCAACACAGTCATAAAACATCATATTTACTTACTATCGTTTTTATGGAGGAAGGGGTCTGCAAAGGCATAAGCCTTAGGCCCGTGGGAGTCACAGTGCAGCCTGGTCAGACGTGTGGCTTCAAAGCCAGCGCCAGTTCATGACTGTGTGCTCCCAGGCAGCCCAGGTCTCCCCTCTGAGCCCGCTTCCTTGGCCATAAGGAGGAGGACACCGAGGTCCACTTTACTGGCCTGAAGCAAAGATGAGGTGGAATCGGTCTGTACCCGAGCCTCGCACACTGCCTGCCACGGAGTAGGCATTCAGGCAACGGCAATCGAACAAAAGCTACTAGTAAATCGGGTCTTAGTAGGAAGAGCCACATTTCAAACGCTGTTGACACCCGTGGTTTGGGGCTCCAGAGAGCCCGGTGGCGCAGACAGCAAGACCCCCTCTAATAAAGCCACACTCCCCTCTGTCCATCATCAGCCATCCACTGAGCAGAGCCCCCCCGCCCCCTGCCCCCGGATCTGGGGTGATTCTTTCACCAACGCCTTCCACTGCTGCCGAACCACCCCAAGCTCTGCCCGCCAAGGGAAGCAGTGGGACAAGGAGGTGGTTGCACTCTGGGTTCAGGAGGCTCCTCCTACACGGGGGTGAGGTGGTCACAGCCCTTCCTCTCTGTACGGGGCTCATAGTGACATTTACCCGTTGCTTGTATTTTCTGCCTCAATCCAATTTCACAGGAGAAACCAAGGTACCGACAAGAAGGTGGCAAAGCTTTTTTTTTTTTTTGCTCTGAAAATACAGGGACAGAATCGAGCTTCATTTAATGAATCTTAGAAAATTCTCCCAGACCACCAAGGTGGAATGAATGAGAGGAGAGGGGCAACCACTGGGGGGGAGGGGTGTGGCTGGGGTGCCAGCCTCCGATGACCTGCCAGGACCGCAGGGCCCACGTGGATCTCTGGCGGTGCCCTGGGGGAAGGGCCGGCAGAGAGGGGTGGTGCCTTGCCAGCCGGCAGGTGTCAAAGGCCTACTTCGCTCAGTTCTGCACCTCCTGTACCCACAATTCGCGGCCCAGCCAAGCCAACCCAAGGAGTCAGGATTTCCCAAATGATTAACTCCCACTTTCACACCAAAAAGCTGAGGATGTTAGTTTGGAGGAGGGGATCTAGACAGGCCAGCCCTGCCACAGGGGCAAGAAGGAGAGAAGCGAGGCGGCGGGAGGCACAATTTGGCCGTCTCGGTCTCAGGTTTCAGAAGACCAGTCGTGGCAAAAGGTGGTTGATCCACTTCTGTCTTCTCCCTGCTTCTACCCCGGCCAGGGAACGGGCCCAATCTCAGCCATAGGCCCTTCCATTCCACCTTCCGCAGAGACTCGCACAGAGGAAGCCCGGGGGCCGAAGGCTGGCCGCCGGGAAGGGGCAGGGCACGCTCTTTACCCTCGGGCCTCGCTCGGTGGTCCCCGAGCCCGGGAAGCAGGGGGGGCGCGAGGCAGGTGCGGCCGCAGGGGAGGCCCACAAACACTCGCCGCGCCGGGAGCCGGGCCTGCTCGGGCGCGGTCGGGCGCACCTGGCCCCGTCCCCACCCCCTCTGCGCCCTCCGCCACACACACGCACACACCTGAGCCCCCCCCCCCTCGCCGGGCGCCGCTCCCCCAGACCCGGGCCGCCTACCTGGCCGGGTGCCGGGCCCCGAGCTGGTCCCCGCCGCGCCGCGCCGCCCACCTGCCCGCCAGCTCCCCGCGCCGCGCCCGGGCCGCTCTGCCGGTTCCGCGAGTCGCGCCGCCCTCGGTGCCGCGGCGTCGCCATGGCGACCGGGCGGCGGCGAGTTGGCGGCGCCGCGGCCGACGCAACGAAGGTCAAGCGCGGGGTTGGGGGGGCGTCGCGGGGTCCGGAAGTGCCCCCAGTGGTCCCTGGATCTCGGGACAGGGTCCTGTCACATCCGAGCCCCAACCTGGAGTCCCGCGTGGCAGGGGCGCAGGATGCTGGGGGGCGCGCAGGCGGCCCCCACCACCGGCCTTCCAGACCCTGCGCAGGTAACCTTCTAATCCGGGGTCTCCCACGTTCGGGGGCGCATGGCGACCTGCGACCCCGTGGGTGTGGAGGGGCCTCCTCGGCCCAGGCTCCTCGGAGGCTGCGGGCCAAGCGGGAGGCATGGGCGGGGCGGGGACGGGCCAGGTGCCGGGGAAGGAGCGCGGCCAGATTTCCTCCCTTTCCTCCCTCCACCTTCTGCTTGGCCCCCGCCCCGCCCTGGTCTCAGGTGGCCACTAGGTGTCAGACGTAGCCCGGGCCTTGGCCCACGTTGCAGCCACGAAGGAGCTGTTTCTCTGCTGGAAAGCAGGACCTCCCCACCCCAGCCCGCTTTGCCTGAGTCAGACAGGACTACCCAACCCCCCGGGTCAGCTGACCTAAGATACAAATCGGTCCTTCCCAGCCTCTCATGAAGGCCGGGGGATGTGGGGGGAGGGCCGGGGCGGCCAGGCCAAGGTTAGAGGCCAGCTCCTACTGCAGCCCGGACCAGGTTCTTTTCCCAGGAAATGTTGTGGGTAGATCACAAGTCCCGCCCAGATTTCCTACAAGCTTAGAACAAAAGGCCCTTTCCTGTTGAATGCCTGGCAGGGAGACCCGCGTGTGAGCTGCTGGGTAGGTTGTCTCCAGAAGTTGATGAATTCACGGACAAGGAAGGGATAAGCAAAGGGAAGCCAATTATTACAGTGAAAGTAACAAAGCCCTAGGCCTGCAAGAGGGGTCCCGAAAAGGGCTGTCGGGAAAGCTCACTAGTCTAGAGGTTTAAATTCCTGCACCTGCCTTCTCTTGGCTCTTTCGGAAAAGCACCGGCCAATCTATTTTTGCCTTCATCTCCCGGCTTTCAGTTCCCACTCTTGGGTTTACCGGGCAGGGCAGCTCTACAGTACATTCTGCCCATCTCGCTCAAATCCTGGCCCTCTGGCTCATCTCCATCTCCCGTTTATCTCATCTTCCCTCCCTGCGGCCGTTACCCTAAACTGCCTGATCCCATCTAATGCCTCATGTCCCCCCTCTGACGGAGAAACCCTAACTGCTGTTAGGGAATTGAGTGGACAGCTGTTGTAAGGAGCCCAGCAGTCCGGGTTCCATAGACTCTAGGCTTCGGAAAATCGGGTTATCCACAAGGGACTCCATTTCCATACCCACCTGTAATTTGAAGGATCCTAGGCAAGAAAGCACAACGACTAAACAGCTAAAAATTTAGGGTCCAACAATTGGGAGAACTACAGAAACCAGGGAGCCCAGAAAGGGTAGGAGCCAAATTACGCTAGGCAGCCAGGAAGAGGGTGACGCCCGGTGTCCTGGCCCCGTTGGTTGTACTTCTGCAGCCATTCTGCCTGTTTGTAGATTTTCCTTGTTTGTCTCCACGAGGCAGGAGTTACTGATACAAGTGCCGCAGGTTTTGTTTATAACCGTGCAGACTCCTCCTTGTTCTGTCAAGAGGTAATCAAGGCTAAACGATTATTCATGACTGCGTTCGCTATGAGGACCTGGAGTCCTGCTCTGGCTGCTGCCCTGGTGACTGGATCAGCTAGCGGCTGCTAGCCTATTTCCTTCCGTGACCTCATCCAAGCCTCTTTGGCGACCCTTGCAATGTACCTCTGAGGGGAGATACACTGAGGACAGGAGCCAGTCAATCTCTTTGTGATATTGAATTGAGGATCCATTCGCTGTCAAGAAATGTCTTTCCTTCCAGATGGCCCCATGGGTGTGGAGGACTAAGAAAGCGTATTTACTCTCTTGCCCTTACTAAGCTCTAATGCTCTTGTGAGGGTGATCAGCTTGGCTATCTGAGCGCTAGTGCGGGGGCGGGGGGGGGGGGGGGGGGGTTGGGGAGGGAGTCGGGGAGCACGCCCCAGAGCTGTGGTGAGGGTGACCACACCACACCCAGCCTTGCGCACCCCATGTTTCTACAGGGTCTCTGGACGCATAGGTTTTGAGTACTCCCTGTTCACAGTCATGCTCTGTTATTTTTTCTTTCCGGAGGAAAGTAGATGGGTTTAAAGAGGGGCAGGTCTTTATTTGGACCATAGGTCCCTCTAATAGCAGTGCCTGATATTTGAGAAGACAGCTCTCCGAAAGCCATAAGCTTCCTTTGGAGGATAGTGAAGCCGTGATGTTATGGGCAGTCAGTACCCTCAGGGCTTTTCCTGAGGTTGACTTGGTGGCCTCTGGAACCAGCAGCACCACAGCAGTCACAGCCCTTGGCCACAAAGTCCAGTTCTTTACTCTGATATCCCACTGGCTGCTGAGCGGGCCCTCGGGCCTGGGTTACTCCGAAGGCTGGCCCTCCCCTTTGGGTTCTCCCCACAGGGAATTCTTGCCCTGTGGGGAGACTCAAGGCTGGGGCTTGGAGGAGCACCTCCTTGAGCTGCTTAAATGCTAGCCTGGACTCAGGCTTTCATTCAATAAATTGGCCTTCATTCTTTTGAGTCTCTTTCATTAGTTGATACAAAAGTCTGGCTATTTCTCCATATCCTGGGATCCAAAGCCTACAGAATCCTGTTATCCCCAGAAATCCTCTTGTGTGAGCGTTCAAGGGAGTGGAAAGGAAGAGGTGGGTCTGATCTGGTCCTCCCCTAAGATCCCAGTATGTTTGGTCAGGTTTGGCCCTAAATATCGTTTTAATATATTTTTATTCATTTCAGAGAGGAAGGGAGATCGAGAGAGAGATAGAAACATCAATGATGAGAGAGAATCCTTGATCGGCTGCCTCCTGCATGCCCCACACTGGGAATCGAGCCCACGACCTGGGCATGTGCCCTGACCGGGAATCAAACCGTGACCTCCCAGTTTATAGGTCGATGCTCAACCAGAGGCTAGCACTACATATTTTATGGAGCTCTTGCAGAGCTGGGCGTTGGTCCTTGAGGCCTTATACCCTCTCTCAGCCAAGAAGTTAAGGCTTGTGTGCCTTCCTGTGAGGTTTCTGCAGCTGGGGCACAGAGGAGGTATCAGCTACAGACTGTAGAACCTTAGTCTATGGGCAAGTAAACTGATTTAAATCCCATGTTCGTGCCTGACCAAACCAATGGGGGATCTCCCTACACCCCTGGGACAGAACAGTCCACGTTAGCTGGGTGGACTGGTCAGAGAGATCCTCAAATGCAAAGAGATATTGTGAGTCTGGGTCAAGGGGAATTCAGGAAAAAGCATCCTTGAGGTCCAATACCGTAAACCATTCAGAGCCACCAGGGATTTGAGACAGCAAAGGGCATGGATTGGGAACTACGGGGTGTGAGGGTACCACCGCCTCACCTATTAGGCAGACATCCTGTCCCAGTCTCCACTCCCCGTTGGGTTTTCGTACTCCCCAGATGGGAGAGTTCATGGGCTATTCCAGGGCTTAAGGAGACCCGGTGTTTTCAGGTTTTCTGTAATTTTTTGCAAACCTTTTCTAGCCTCAGGCTTCAGGGGTTACTGCTTCTGGTGGGGAACAGAGGTTGGGCCCTAGGGGGAAGTTGACTTCCTTTCCTGCAACAGTCAGGGTCAGCCAGGGCTCCCGGGCAGAGAGGACAGTCCGAGCTGGAGCCGACCAGGGTGCCCGGGGGCCTTCAGGCCTGTTGCTGAACCATCTGGGATGGAGGATCTGCCCTTGGGAGCCTTCGCACTTGGGGACAGTTCACCCTCCAGTGGTCTCCCTTGCAAACAGGCCCGGGGCGGGTCGGCTCTTTCAAAAAAGCACCAGCCAATCTCCTTTTCCCCTCATCTCCCCGCTTTCAGTTCCCACTCCTGGGTTCAGGGGGAAGGGCAGCTCTGCGGCACATTCTGCCCATCTCGCTCACATCCTGACCATCTGGCTTAGCTCCTCTTCATCTACCATCTTCCCTCCCCGTGGCCCTGACCCTAAACTACCCGACCCTATCTAACTCCTCAGCAAGACTCACCAAGCGCCTGAGGGTGGAAGAGAAATAAGGTTTCCTCCCCCGGACACATAAATGAGCCTCAGCAAAGGGACACCCCTCCCCCACCTGCCCCCAGCACTGTGGGCTTCCCACGGGCGGTGGCCAAAGGCTCCCGGAGGGCCCTGGCCAAAACGGGCCTTGCCGAGAGAACACACTTGGCACATCGCCCACGGATGCCCCCTGCACAAGCACCGTTGCCCCCGAGGAGGGGCCGAGCTCAGCCCCTCCGTGAATATAAACTTCGTTGGGGTGGCTTTCCAGTTGGAGGGAGTTCATGGGCATTTTAAGTTAAGAAACAGCTTCCTTAGGGTGCCAACAGGCCAGCAGCCGGCAACAATGCCTTGTGAGTTGAATGTGGAACTGAGCCATTTCTGGGGTGGGCAGAGGAGCAGAGGCTGGCTGGGAACTCCCTGGGAGTGCTGCCAGCCCCTTCCAAAGCCAGGAGGCGGGATGGGGCCCTTTAGGTCCTCCCCCTCCCCCCTCAGGACCATCTCCCCCTCCCCCCCCCACAGCCAGGCAGCACCCTCAGAGGGGAGAACGCACTCTGCCAGCAGTGCTCTCTGAGTGAGGCAGGCTGCCTCCCTGGGGACCAGCCACATGGGGTCTTCGTTCTAAGGGCGCATGGCTCCACCCAGTCATTTCAAAGAGCAGGTGATCCCACCAAACTGCAGTCAAGCACCAGCATCCGTCGTGGCCTTGCCCCCTGTTAGCAGAACCCCCAGCCCCGGATGGTGAACTCTCCCTTCCTGCCCCCTCGCTGCTGCTGAGACTTCTGTCCTGGAGGCCCCCCTCCAGCTGGGGTGGCAAGGGCGAGGACAGCAGCCTCGGGCCCCTTCTTGGGGACCTCGGATGTGGTCCAGGGCGTTTTCCATGCAAACTCCGCCCCTTGCACACTCGCAGCACTGCTCTAGCCTCATGCTTTCAGACTCACCAAGTTCATTCCCACCGCCACCACCCCACCATCATTTGGCTCATTCCTTCAGATCTCAACTCGGAACGTGCCCTCCCCAGGAAGGCCTTCCCTGCCCACCCAGTGGCTGGGGTCGGGGTGGAGATGCAGGAGATACCCTGCATTACGTGCCCTGGTGACAGTGCTGGGAACCATGCCTGGGGCTCACGCTGTTCTTGGCCAAAAGCATTTAAGAAGCAGGAAAAAGCAAGACCATGAACAGAACGTCCCATGTAAACAGGACCTGAGATCCCCAGCACCTGCTGATCCCGCCTGCCCTGCTAAGGCCCCCAGATTTAGAAAGAAGGAAAAATCCAGGAGACCCATTTAAATTTAATTTTTTTTTTGGCATAAGTATGTCCCACATATTACATGGCATATATTAAAAATGTATTTGTTGTTTATCTGAAATTTAAATCTAAGTGTGTGTTCTGTATTTTGTCTGGCAATCCTACCCTTTTTCCTGTTTGGGGAGGACAGGAGAGGGGCCTCCTAGCCACTGTGGCCCCTCCCAGCACAGCTTCCCCGTCCCAGCAGACACACACCCAGTTCACTTCTACTGGGCACGTGCTTGGGCTGCAGAGAATCCAGAAGGCATGGGAGACGGGGTCCCCAGTCCCAAGGCCCAAGGCCCTGTGAGATGCAAACGCTGGACACAGAATTCATTCACTCTTTACAGCAGTTTTATCGAGTCCCTTCCATGTGGCAAGTGCTGGGCAACATTGGGGCTATAACAATGAATGTGACAGGCACAGCCTTAAGAGTCAGCACATGAAAAGGGTGCTTAACCCAGATGTGAGGGTTAGGGGAGGCTTCTGGGGCATGTGGCATCGAACATAGAGCTACAGGGCGAGCAGGGGTTAAGCTGGCAAAGGGACAGTGGGCAGGAGTGTTCCTGGCCAAAGACACAGCTAAGGGAGCAAGAGCACCCTGGCCGGGTAGCTCAGTTGGTTAACACATAGTCCTGATGCACCAAGGTGCGGGTTCGATCCCCAGTTCAGGGCACATGCAAGAATCAACCAATGAGTGCTCTCTCTCTCTCTCTCTCAGAGCAAGACCTTGCTGTGCTGGAAGGAGGTGGAAGAGGCACTGTACTCAGTTGCTGGGGCCGCTGCCTAAATCAACATGCCTGAACCAAAGCTGCCCCAGCTCAGGAAGGTGGCCTGGCCTTGGCACAGCAAATAATGGAAAGACACATACCCTGACCAGTAGACAGAGTTCCTGAGGAACTTGCCTCAACTTCCTTGCAAAGAAAGCCAGGCTGCACGGGAAAGCACATGGCTACTGTGATGAGCTTACAATGGAACAACAGTTCACTCGGGGGAAACCTATGCTCCAGCTTCAGGGGGAGCAGAGGTGGCCAGAAAGGCAGCAGCCCCGGCAGGAGCAGCAGGAGCCCCCAGCAGAGCAGCCGCCATGCGGCAGCCAGTGGGGCAGGGGGTTGGCCACAGCGCTTCCCGAGCCACCGCTGAAGACAAGGAGTCATGTGAGACCACCAGAATTCGAGGGGATGAGGCTGAGGGACACAAAGGCTGTGTGTCCCAAGGTGACCTGGAGGCTGAGTGACCACCTGCCCATGAGCCAGAATCACACTGCAGGATGGTTGGAGAAGCAACGAGAATCAGGTCAGGCCGGCTTTTCACCTCTGCAGATACCGAGGGAATGGGTTGTGAGATGGATGAGCAGCCGTGGTGGGGACCAGCTGGGTGCAGCAGGTGGCACAACAGCACTGGGCACCCAAGGTGAGAGGCAATGAAAGGGGCGGCCTTTCCCAATTCCCAGTGTTTCTGTGCAGCCCTGGGTGGGGGGTGGGGGGGGAGAGGGGAGGGTCAGGAGGAAGTTATTTTCTTTTCCCTCTCCTCCTTCTTCCCTCCCTCCCTCCCTTCCTCCCTGCCTCTTTCCCTTCTCTTCCTCCCTCCCTCCCTTCCTCAATTCCTTTCCTTCTTTCATAAGGGTTTGTTGGGCACTTACTTGTGTCAGGCACTGTTCTAGGCCCTGCAGAGACAGTAATCAGAAGGACAGACGAGGCCCCTGCTTTCATGTAACTTATGTGAAGTGGGGAAGACAGAACATGAAAAAGTAAACTAACAGCATATATACACGCAAATGTACACAGGAACCTAACTGCATGTAGCAACAAGTGCATGAAGAAAATAGAGCAGGAGGAACGGCTGGAGCATCACGGGAGGGAAGATTATTGCTGAGGGAGACTCTCTATGGGGAGAGGACTCGGGATGCAGCCAGGTGAAGATCTAGAGGAAGGCAGTTCCCGCCCGGGGAAGAGGAAGGAAGGGCAAAGGCCCTGTGGCAGGAACGTGCAGGGCCCTGCCTTCTAACACTTCTCTTTCCTCAGCACAAGAATCAGCACAGAGGGAAGCAGGCATGTAAACAGGCCATTAGAGAGGTCAGAGGTCAGAGACGTGAGCAGGGACGCCCCCAGCATTGGAGTTGTGTCTCACCATGACCATGTCCATCACACACTGGAGAGTCTGGGCCCTGGTTCGCAGTCGGTAGGACACAGCCAGGCTGCTCCAGCCCAGAAGGTTTGCCCTGCGGCTGGTGGTGTGGGCTGAGCAGGAGGCACCCGCCCCAACATCACGCCCCCTGGGCCAGCTCTCCCCTCCAGGAAGGAAGTCTTCAGGAGGTTTATGCCCCAGTCTATTCTCAATCCCCACCTCCCTGCTGTTCTCCCTGAGTCAGTCAATGAATCAACAGACATGGAAGACTTGTGTGAGTGCGAGCAGCATGTGGAGAGCAAGAAACACTCAGGGAGCAAGAGTGTGCAGCCTGGGGTGACCGCAGAGGCCTGGAGAGGTACAGGGCGGAGCTGCTGATATTGACAGGCATCTAATCACCTCCACAAACCAGCCCCAAACTGCACGGCAGGGACTTCCGTACTTTGTTCAAAGCCTGTGACAGCTCTGGGTTCTCACCTTGGGTCCTCAAACTACTCTAACTCTGGCTCCATGCCCCCTGGCCCTCAGCCAAGCCCCTTGTGCCAGGGGTGCAGCGAGGAAGTGGTAGCCACTCAAGCCAAATGTGCAGGGTGAACAAGCCACAGCCCCGAGGCTGCCCCGTGGGGACGGACGAAGGCACAGCCGTGTGCTTCCGCTGTAGCCCTGCGGCAGCCCTGTCCCAGAGCAGGACCTCAGCCAAACTCAGAAGAGCAGAAAGAAGGGGTAGTCATGTGAGGCCCTGCCTCCAATGCGTGCACTAAGCCTGGGTGACCTCCGAGGCCGCAGCAGGTCAGCAGCACACGGTCCTGAGTCAGAGGTTCCACTCGCCCTGCTCCTCCCCTATTTCCATCCTATCTACTTGCTCCTGGCCTTGGCCTTCACCTCCTGTCTCAAGCGTGCTCTCAGGTCAGCTGGTCTTTGTTGAGAGCAGATTAGATGTGAAGGCACCTTGACCTTAACTCAGAAGCTCCCTCACCCACGAAGCCACACTCCCAGCTGGTGGAAGAGCCTAGGCCAGTGGTTCTCAGCCTTGGCTGCACATTAGAATCACCTGGGAATCTTTTTAAAATCCTGATTTCTGGGCCTCTTCCTCCGGAAATTCTGTTTCTTTGTTACTAATGTTGTGGCCTCACCCCATAACAAAGAAACAGAATTTCTGGAGGATGAGGCCCAGAAATCAGGATTTTTAAAAAGATTCCTAGGTGATTCTAATGTGCAGCCAAGGTTGAGAACCACTGGCCCAGGAGGTAATCTGGTGCCGGGGAGAACCACGCCCCTCAGCTGGTGCTGAATTTGGGTTGACCCTTAGTGTCCTATACGTATATGTATTTCAGAATTTCAAAGTAAGATGATTATCCCTCAGTTTAATTCAGGTGTTCTATCTATCAGATTATAACCCCCCCCCCCCCCATCAGTTCAAGGTCTCACCCCGAAGACCCAGGGCCCAAAAGTGTTCCCTGGGGTTGGCTCTTAGGTTCCAGGGCTAAGGCTGTTGGAAGCCAAGACCACTACTTGTGGGCTTTCATACGTCATTATCCATCCCCACATCCCATCATCCACTGTGACGGGAGTTGCCCTTCACAGCTCGAGGGGCAAGGTCAGGTCCAAACAGCATGACTACAGGCGGTCTCATCTGTCTTGTGGAGTTTTCTCTCCTTCCATGGGCCTCTCTTCATCTAACACACACACACACACACACACACACACACACACACACACACACACACACACCAGGGCTTAATTTGACCCAGGGCTCAGCCCTGGCTGCTTCACTTCACTGCAGTCAGGACCTGGCTGCACCTTTTTGCCTGGGCAGCTGCCACAGCAGCAAACATGCCAGCGAGCCTGGCTTCTGAGCTCTTCAGTGGCCCAGTGCTCTGTTCCTGGGCCTCCATGGAGTCCCCATTGCACCCAGGTGGCCAGGTGAGCACCCTCTGCAGAGCCCTGCCCATCCAGGTTCCTCCAGGCAAGGGTTTCTCCCCAGAAGTCCTGCGCCTTCGCACCAGTTGACCCTGGGAGGGGCTGCTGAGATAGAAGGGTCTCCTCTCAGTGGGTTCTTCCTCCTCTGCTTGTTGGTCAACTCACCCACCCGCTGTCAAGGGAGGGGTGACAGGAGGTGGCCTCTGCCTGGCCACAGAGGTCCACTGCCACCTTCCCCTCAGCGTGGGACTTTCTGCCCAACATCTGCCTTGAAGGCCCCTCAAGAGGTGTTTCCTGAAACAAAGCAAGTTCCTCCAAGGTCACGAGATGGCAAAGTGCCATTTTCCTCCTAGGAGCCCTCCTCTGACCCATGTTCGAAGCCTTCCAGGGAGTTCGTTTAATGAGGGGCCCTGGGGGAGGGCGGGGAGACCAGGCAGAGGGCTCCTAAGGGCCCAGGCAATCACAGGGTCTGGCCAGGGCCCTGGACATCTAGAGGGGAGGGTTGGACCCCAAAGGTGAATTTGCCTCCGTGCTCTGGGTCCCATGATGGAGACTCTTAGAGGCCAACAGGGGTGCCTCTCCCCCAGCCCAGTGGGGCTGGCAGACCCCCAGCTCCAGCTCCCATGCTGGTGGCAGCGGTCCCTCCCCCTCTCCCCTCTCTGTGGGTCCCCAAGTTTCTGTCTGTGCTGTCACCACAGGCCTTGTTTTGCCTCGCTCATTCTCAGCTTCTCTCTCACACTCTCCCTTGCTGCTTCCTTCCATCTGTCTTCCTGTCTGAGTGAGGTTCCCTGGGCTCCCTGAGTGTGGGCAGTTCCATTCATTTCCTGGCTCCTCTCCGGGAACAATGTGTAACATACACACAGCCACAGTAAGATACACACTGGGACTGGGCAGCACTTCAGGGCCAGTTAGAGCCCCCAAGCCCCAAGCTGCAAGCTGGGCCCCAGTGGGATTAGGAAGGGGGTCACTGGCACCCAGCCAGGTCCCCCTCCTGCCCCCTGACCCAGCAGGAGAGAGAGGGCAGTGCCGAGGCCCAGGCAGCACAGCCTGAAGCTGAGATCAGCGGAGGCCTGGGCACCCCACACCCAGCCCCTCACCACCGCCACCCTTACCTGCTGCAAAGGAGGCTGGAATTCATTGGTTCTAGTCAGGCTCTCGGCAAACCTGCCATGTCCCTGGGCAACCAGGGCTGCACCGGGCTCTGGAAATGGGAGTGTGAAGGTGCCCAGGTTCTACCATCCTGGAGCTCTGCGGGAAGACAGGTGGACGGCTGCAATCCTACTCACAGACCCTGCACCAAATGCCAAGGGTGGGCTTTGGGGGAAGAAAGGTCGATGGGTGATGACCAGGCATCAGGTGGGGGTGGGGCATTCCAGTCAGGAAAGACCCAAGGGCCCCAAGAGACCAGGGTGTACTCGACACCCCAGTGGGGCCAACTTCTGCAGAACACCAATGCCAAGTAAGGACAGTCTAAAAAATAGTTTATTTTCTCTCACCACCTTCTATGAAAGAAGTAATGTTTTAACTAGAAAAGAAAGACTAGTTGGAATAAAAGGTATTGCAACCAAGAAAGGACAGCTGCACCTGGACTGCTATCTGCTGACTAGAGGCCCGGTGCACAAAAATTTGTGCACTGGGGGGGGGGGGAGGGGTCCCTCAGCCTGGCCTGTGCCCTCTCGCAGTCTGGGACCCCTTGGGGGGATGTCTACCTGCTGGCTTAGGCCCACTTCCCGGAGGATCGGGCCTAAGCTGGCAGTTCAGACATCCCTCTGGCAGCCCAGGAGCCCTTGGGGGATGTCCACTTGCCAGGGGGGAGCAGGCCTAAGCTGCAGTCAGACATCCTTAGCGCTGCTGAGGAGGCAGGAGAGGCTCCCGCCATCACCGCTGTGCTGGCAGCCGTCAGCCTGGCTTGTGGCTGAGCAGAGCTCCCCCTGTGGGAGTGCACTGACCACCAGGGGGCAGCTCATGCATTGAGCGTCTGCCCCCTGGTGGTCAGTGTGTGTCATAGGGACTCGCCATTCCCAGTCATTCTGCTGTTAGGGTCAATTTGCATATTACCCTTTTATTATATAGGATAGAGGCCTGGTGCACAGGTGAGAGCTGGCTGGTTTGTCCCAGATCAGGGTGGGGGGCCTACTGGGGTGCCTGGCCAGCATGGGTTAGGGGCTGAGGGCCATTTTCAGGCTGGCCAAGCCCCCCAGCGGGGACCCTCACCCCATGGGGTGTGGCCAGCCTGGGTGAGGGGCTGAGGGCTGTTTTCAGGCTGACCACACCCCCTTCAGGGTGGAGGTCCCTGCTGGGGTGCCTGGCCAGCCTGGGTGAGGGGCTGATGGCTTGTGGGCATGGCTGAACGTAGCAGAGGGACGGTTAATTTTCATGTTTCTCTTTTATTATATAGGATTGCTTTGATAGACCGAGTGATTCTTGTTTTCATCACTTTATTGCTGACTACTCAGCCCTTTATCAGGGACCAGAGCCCCAGGGGACTGATAGAGGGACTGCGGAGGTCAGTGAGAACTGGGCACAGGCAGGAGGCAGAAGCCACACCAGGACGGGCTTTGGACTTGACACTCAGGACTGTGGCTTCTGCCCCTCAGTTGACGATAAGCTGGGGAGGAGGGGGTTGTTTGTTTGTTTTAATATATTTTTATTGATTTCAGAGAGGAAGGGAGAGGGAGAGAGAGATAGAAACATCAGTAATGAGAGTGAATCATTGATCAGCTGCCTCCTGCATGGCCCCTACTGGGGATGGAGCCCGAAACTCAGGCATGTACCCTGGCCGGGAATCGAACCATGATCTCCTGGTTCATAGGTCTGACACTCAACCACTGAGCCACGCCGGCCAGCCAGGGGTGGGTTTTAAGGGAATGGTTGCTGTGATTGGAGTCACATTTCTGGACAAGCATCCACTCTCACAGCTGTATGTTAGCCTGGGCTGGAGGGGAGGCCAGAGTAACCATGAGGGTCTGTAGTGAGGCCAGGCAGTGGCTGTAGGACTGGAGCAGAAGGAGCAAGGAACAGGCTAAGCAAGGAGTACCAGCAGGTGGCCGGAATAGAGAGCTGATTATCCTGAGATGAGGACACAGTGGAATTATTAGGGTAATGGAAACAGGCTTCATTTTTCAAAAAAAATTGTTTATTATGTAATATATATTATGTATAATATGAATATGTACGTACATGATATCTGATGTATCCATAGATTAGGAAGCATAATAAAACCAACACCCCTAGACCCACTGCCGGAGTCCATTCATTGTCTTCACTAGCTGAGTTTAGACAGAGACCCCCCCAAAAGCTAGGAACCTTTGAAGTTCTAGCAAAGGTCAGAACTGTGCACCACCCAGTTAATTTAGGTAATAATAGTTGAAGCATCTCCACCTTAGTTCCCTTAATTCTTTAGATACTTATGTAGATCCTTGTTGATTATTGTTCATCAGATACTCTGCCTACTCCCAGAAATCTATTGATGAGCTAATCAGATACTTTGTCTATTCCTGGAAATTGTTTGCTGATCTGTGTGTCATTGAAACCTCCTTACCCTAAGGGCTACTCCAGATCAATAAAAGATTGGAGCAGCCTGAGCATGGGTGGAAGTCCTTCGGGACTTGCCCGCCTGGTCCCCCAATATTGCAAAATTATCTTGTGTCTTTTTCTCTCATTTGTTGTGCGGCTCCTCTTTCAGATACCAAACCCTACTCCACGCAGAACGTGGAGGGAGTCTTACTCGACATCTGGCGCCCGATGGGTAATCTGGAAGTGCAGGCCTCGCTGGAGCGAGAAAAGGAAGTTTTCACCGAACAGGTGTGGAAAACTCACTGAAAAAAGGTGAGGGGAATTCTACCACACGCAATGCCCAGGATCAACTACAGAAGCCCGGGTCTGTAAGTACACTGGGAACGTTTTTTTAACCAGGCTAACAAACGGGGCAGGATTTGGCTTTAAAAAAGTAGATTCGGCTTTAAAAAGGTATATTTGGCTTTTAAAAACTAAGAAACTTTATTATAGGCTTTTGATTTGCATGTTTAAAGTATTAAAATTTTAGAAGGTAATCTTTTACAGTTCTTTGTGTGTTATAGAACATAACCTTTGTTTTTCTTGAAAAAGTTACTCTTTTAGATCAGGCTGAAAAAATAGTGCCATGGTCATCTTAATGTGTTTTCTTATCTTAATTTGTATTTGGAATCTATCTGTAATAAGAAATGGAACCCCGCTGCCGAATCTCTCTCTGGTTCGGAGAGATTCAAAGGTGGCAGGAGAGTGCAGAGCTATAAACTCTCCCGCAATGAGATTACTTAATGTTCTGTTTAAAAACTACCTGAGAACATGTTGGGAAGTGCAAAGTCAAGGTCACCTTGGGTGCTAGCTATTACTTTGGGAAGCGAAAAGGGAAAAAAAATTTTAAAATCTGTTTTTCTATTAATCATGACTTTGGTAACAAATACACCATCTGAGTCATTTGCTGAAACTTCCCCCAAAGCAGGGTGTGGGGGAAAGGAAGGAAAGAAGCTCATGTGGTCGTCCAATATGGACATCACTCCCCAAGAAAGCCACCTTTTCACCTCATCTTCACCATCTTTATACTTTTTTTCCAGCTAATTACTTAAAGCTTTTACAAATTCATAAATGCATCCAGGATTTCTGTGCACATGTAAAGGGAAAAGGCCAGTTTAAAAACGAGTGCGCATAGTTTTGAGCTGAACTTGACCTTTTGCTGTGTACAGAATAAAAACCCGAGACTGTTTTGGCCTTAAAAATGGCGGAGATGAACCTGAGAAAGAAATACAGGCTGGTTTCCCAAGGCTATTTAAAGTAGCTCTTTTGAAATTTCCTGCCCTGAGGCAAGTACCACCAGGAAGTTGATAGTCAAGTTTACATGTGAATAGCTATGGGTTTGCTTCTTGACTTCCCCAGCAGGAAAATTGTGACCATTTTGAAATTTAGCAGCTATGCCAGGCTTATTGGCTGGAAACTTAAAACTTTTAAGTTCAAATCATCTAAAAGTATTGAGATTTATAATACTGAAATGTTGATCTGAGTATGCCTAGTATGAAGTCTAGATGATAGAAGTTAATCTATTAATTGAAAATGCCTTCTATTTTATTTGAAATGTATCCTTAAATGTAAAAGTATTGATTTGAAAAATGCTAAGTATTTAATTTGCTACCTAAGATTTAAAGCTCTGAAAGTTTAAGGTCTCTTTTCTTGCCATTAAAAAGTTTAAAGCTACACCCTTTTTTAATGGAGGAAGGGGTAGACAGGCCCTTCCCCTAGCATGCAGGTAACCCAATTCCCACCAGCAGCCATCTTTAGGAATGTTAATTTGCATTTCAATGGCTACACCTTTTGCTAGCCAACCTTCCCAGAAAAGGTCAAGTGGCCAAAAGGTGGCTTCTTTGAAATCAGCTTTCCGCCAGTAGTCATTTTTTAATACCTACAAGTTTGCTTCTCAGTTTCCCCAGGCAGAAAAAACATGGTTTAAAGTTAATTATTAGATTTTAAAATTTATTCTTAAAAATATAAAAGTGTAGTTAATCAAAGAACTGCTAATATTTGACTTGTAAGCTCTGAAAGTTTACAGTGCAAATTGAATCGGGAGAAATTAATTAAATATCTAATGTATAACTTGTTTTTGAAAAAATAAAATGTGTTTTCTCTTAAATGATTAGGAATTCAAAATATGTTGCTTATTGATCTGATAAAAAGAGGATTAATTTTGTGATCTCAACTGAAATTTTTAATACAAAAACCAGTTTAAACCTAATTGATATTCTTTAAAGTAATTATAAAAGGTATAAACAGCTAATGGGATTTCTGCTTGTCTGAATATAATGTTGGCCATCTATCTTTTAGGGGTTTTGGTTTGCTCTCTCAAAGAACAGTGTAGACAGCTGCCCCTTTGAGTTGCTTGACTTGGCAGCCGCCATGTTGGCCGCATGGCTTACCGTGCCCTTGGGGGTCGCCATCTTGAAACAGCAAAGGCCGCTCCCTCCGTCTTAGCCAATCACAAAAGGAATGTCTTCTCACGGAGGCAGGATGGAATTTCAGGGGTGGAGCTTTAAGGTGGAATTTCACTACAGAAATTCGGATGGGGCAGAAAGTGTTTCTAATCTCTTAAATCTAGAAAACCCTGCTTTCCTTAAACTAAGGACAATTAAAGGTTATATGTTCACTCCCTAAACAAAACTTAAATAGCTTATGTCAAAGCATTAAAAGGGACTGATAACACTAATCCAATTTCTGTGACCCCAGCCAAAATTTTAAAACCAGTTTAAATTTAATTGATATCTCTTAATAATTATAATAAGTATATAATTTTTAAATCATATATATATATTTATATATATTTGATGGTCTTTCAAGTTGGATTTCAAAACTGTAACCAAGGAATGACTTTGAGAAATTTCACGGGCCCTGAAATGTTCTTCAAAAGTTTATTCTCTCTTTTTAAAGGATTTTTTAATTTAGCTAAATTTAATATACTTGAAATCACATGGATAGCTTTATCAAATAAAAATTAATAAATATATTTTAAGTTTTTGCCTCTGAGAAAGGGCAAAACAAGTTATTTTGTTTAATATTTCTTAGAATACAGCAGTGAAATTTTAAGATATAATTTGAAATAACAAACGCTCCTCACTACTGCATTTTAAATTAGGCTGGAAGTGGTGCAGTGTTTACCCCTAGTAAATCAAAAGTTTACTAAATTTACTTGCTTCGCTTTGCCTATTACTATCCTTGTAAGCAATTGAATCCTAGTAAAGTAAATTCTTCTGAAAAGGTTACTGAAGGCTTCCCATGATTCCTCTGTATATGCAAGTAAGCCAAAGGGCACCTTTGAATATCTGGAATTAGGATATAAAAATTTAATTTACACAATAACTGGCATTTGTATCAGTTCAATTCTGAAGTTGATCATATAACTTCTTTGAGTCTCAATTTCCTTACCTACCCATTCCTTTCCAACTCTAAAGTTCTGGTTCTGTAATAATAAAATATTTTTTCTAGGAACAGCAAAGAAAAATACACTTTTCTCCATGTTCTCATGGTATACCTGTACATATTTCTGTTCACTTTCCCTAGGGTTTCCCTACCTTAGCCCCCAGATGTTGAAAGGGAACTAGCATGCCCACAAACTGGGAATCCTATTGTACCTGTGAGGCTAGTCTCCGCATAGCCTCCTCCTGCCGCCTGCACATTTCTGGAGTTCCTGGGCAGCTTCCACTGGTAATGGATGAGTGGGCTGAAGGTGGTTGTGTGAGTGGCAGCTCTCTGTTGGCATCCACATCTGGATTAAAAAGATGAGATGTTTGCATCAGACAATCATAAAACTCTGAACTAAATAAAGACTGGTTAAATTTCATTTGTTGTATGATCCAGCAATTCTATTCCTAGGTATATACCAAAGAGAAATAAAAACAGAGGTCCATGCAAAAACTTGTACACATATACTCATAACAGCTAAAAAGTGGAAACCACCTAAATGTCCACCAACTGATGAATGGTTAAAATGTGGTATATCCATACAATGGACTATTTCTTGACAATAAAAACAAATGAGATACCGATCTATGCTACAATATGGATAGCCCTTGAAAATATTACACAGAAGAAGCCAGTTACAAAAGGCTATATGTTGTATAATTCTATTTATATGAAATGCCCAGAAAACAGAGTCTATAGGGACAAAAAGTAAATTAGTGGTTACCAGGGGAGTGAAGGTAGGGAGTTAAGGGGAGACTGGAGATTAACTACTAAAGGGCATAGGATTTATTTCGGGCTGGGGGGAGGGGATGAAAATGTTCTAATATCCTATCTAATAAAAGAGAAACATGGTAATTAGCCGTACGACTGCTACCCTTCCCATTGGCTAATCAGGGCGATATGCAAATTAACTGCCAGCCAAGATGGCGGCCGGCAGCCAGGCAGGTGGAGTGAACATGAGGCTTGCTTGCTTCAGTGACAGAGGACTCCAACATTCCCTGCCTGCCTTGCCGGCCTCTGAGCTTGCAGTTTGAAACATTGTTACAAATATAGAAGCTAAACAAAACCCCAGAAACCTGCTTTCAGCCAGCCGGGATCTCAGAGCTGGAGTTGAAACAGTGTTTCGATTATAGAACCCAAACAAACCAGATACCTGCTTTCAGCAGCTGAGGCCTAAGAGCTGGAGCCAAGCCTCAGAGCTAAAGCTGGCCCAGAATTAAAAAAAAAAAAAAAAGGAGCGGTTGGGAGCTTCAGTCACCCACCAGCCTGAAAACAGCCCTCAGCCCCTCACCCAGACTGGCCAGGCACCCCAGTGGGGACCCCCACCCTGAAGGGTGTGTGACCAGCTGCAAACAGCCATCATCCCCTCATCCAGGCTGGCCGGCACCCTAGTGGGGACCCCCACCCTGATCCGGGACACCCTTCAGGGCAAACCAGCCAGCCCCCACCCATGCACCAGGCCTCTATTCTATATAGTAAAAGGGTAATATGCCTCCCAGCACCGGAATCAGCAGAGCTGCAAGGTCTCCTGGCACTGGGATCAGCATGACAGGGGCAGCGCCCAAACCCCCTGATCGCCCTGTGGCTCTGTGTGTGACAGGGGGCGGGGCCACAACCTCCCTATGGGCCCTGCTCTGTTTCTGACAGGGGAAGGCGCCCCAACCCCCTGATCGGCCCTGCTCTGTGCCTGATAGGGGGGAGCTCCCCAACCTCCTGATCGTCCTGTGGCTCTCTGTGTGACAGGGTACGGCGCCCCAACCCCCCCACCCCACGGGCCCTGCTCTGTGTGTGACGGGGTAGAGCCATAACCTCCCCATCGGCCCTGCCCTGAGTGTGACAGTGGCGGCGCCCCAACCCCCTGATCGGCCCTGCTCTGTGGGTGATAAAGGGCGGCGCCCCGACCCCCTGATGGGCCCTGCTCTGTGCGTGACAGGGGGGAGCTCCCCAACCCCCTGATGAGCCCTGCTCTGTGCGTGACAGGGGCAGCGCCCCAACCCCCTGATTGGCCCTGCTCTGTGCGTGATAGGGGGTGGTGCCGCAACCTCCCCATCGACCCTGCCTTGAGTGTGACAGGGGGCGGTGCCCCAACCCCCCAATGGGCCCTACCCTGAGCGTGACTGAGGGTGGCATCGCAACCTCCCAATCCGCCCTGCTCTGTGCATGACAGGGGGCGGTGCCCCAATTCCCCAATCGGCCCTGCTCTGAGCCCAACCAGGGGCTGCACCTAGGGATTAGGCCTGCTCTCTGCCACCCGGGAGCAGGCCTAAGCCAAGCAGGTTGTTATCTCCCGAGGGGTCGCAGACTGCGAGAGGGCACAGGCCGGGCTGAGAGATCCCCCCTTCCCCCCGAGTGCACAAATTTTTGTGCACTGGGCCTCTAGTCTATAATAATAAAAGCGTAATATGCTAATTAGACTGGACAGCCAAATGACCTTCTGGACAACCTTCCGGACAAAGCCAGGGCTGCAAGGGCCGAGCCCTTTGCACGAATTTCATGCATCGGGCCTCAGTACTTCAATAAAAGGCATCATAGTAGAGTCTTCTGGGGTTTGTGTTTTCTCTTGCAGTGATGCTTCTGAGACCGTGTGGGTGCTATGGCGTAGAGTAATATAGACAGAGCTGCCGTTCGTTTATGTTCACAACTCTATATAGTCCACAGTCCACGCTCCAGGCTCCAACCCTGTCTCTGGACACTTGAGTAACTTCTTCTTTTTCTCTATCACAGAACAATTTTCCAGGAAAATTCTCATACACACCCCCTTGGTGCACTCAGGTAACTTTATGTCTATTGACTCTAAATGAAGTATCAGGGCTTGTATGTTTTATGTCTTTTTGTTCACTTCATTATTTTAGGAATTCATTTTTTATTACATTTTATGAAAGTGTTATTCCCCCAACGGATGGGAAACAAAAACAAAAACAAAACTGGACCTTGTCCCAGTTTGAGATGCATTGCCCTGGGGAGTGCAGTGGGAGTGAAGTTGCTGGGTCAAGGGTATGCGAAAGTCCAGGAGAGTCCAAATGGCCGACCGCTTTCTGAAGGACTTGCGCTGATTTGCATTCCCGCCAGCAGCGCAGGAGCGTTCCCACGTTGCGCCACCTCTCCAGCAGCACTCAGTATTGTCTACTTTGTAACTTTGCACCAGTTTCGTGCGTATGGCATCTTTTCATTCCTTTGTTGCTAAGTGAAGTGGAACATCTTTGTATATGTTTATGGGGGGTTTGTACTTCTTCTGTGCTCTTCTGTTTCAGTCCTTTACCAAATTCTTTTTCTTATTGACTCATACGATTCTTTATATATTCTAGATATTAGTCCCTTGTCATTTCTCCCAATTGATTTTTTTTTAGAGGCAGTGGAAGGGAGGGAGGGGAGAGAGAGAGAGAGAGAGACAGAGAGAGAGAGAGAGAGAGAGAGAGAGAGAGAGAGAGAGAGAGAGAGAGAGAAACATTGATGTGGGAGAGATACACACAGCTGGGATTGAACCTGCAACCCAGGTATGTGCCAAGCCCTTGTCATTTACATGCGTTGCAGGTATCCTTCCCAGTTTGGGGCTTGCTTGAATTTTCTTGGGTGCCTTTTTATAGCAGAAGGTCTAATTTGTAAAGTAATTAGATTTTATCTATTCTTCCTCTTTTTGGCTCCTCTTCGCTGCCCACACATGCTCTCTTCCTGCACGCCCCTACTGAACTGACAATTCCAGACCGGCACCCTCCAGCCTCCAAGCTCATCTCAGCCCCACTTTAGCCTCAGTCCTTTTTCAGGAGCCTGTGCTCTCACCTCCACTCTTTCCCGGCTGCAGAGACCTCCCCCGGGGCGGCTCGCAGAACCAAGTCATCCCCAAAACCCAGCTCCAGCACAACCGCCTGTCTTTATCTAATTTGTTTGTTTGTTTGTTTATTTTTACAGCCCAAAGTGTCTTGCTGTTGTTGTTTTGGTATTGTCCTGGTTTTTTAAATACCTATTGAGCCATGAATTCACAGGGAAGGGGATCCAGCAGCTCGGACTCCTTCCCGCGGTTCTCACAAGGCAGGCCTCTCTGGGCGGACCAGGCTGGCGCTTCGGTCGAACCCAGGTACCTTGCTCTTTGCTCCCTTCTTTTTCGGATCATTTCCCTTCACATATTTCAGGAAGCCGTTGTGGCTCTTGGAGTAATTAACATGCCCAGAATGTCCGTTAATTCTCTTGGCAAGCATCTGGCCCTTAACTTGTTTGTTTCCCACAATGCCCACGGGGTCGCACTGTGGACTCGTCCAGTTTTGCCATGGCAACATTTGTGGGGCCTTCCTTTTGAGCAGTGCCCGTTCCCTTGATGTCCACAATACCACCTTTCTTATAGATTCACGTGTAGGTGGCCAGAGGAACAACTCCGTGTTTCTGAAAGGCCCAGGGGACACGCAGCGGAGTCTCTTCCCCTTCCCGTTGTCTCGGCCGTTTCGGTGAATTACTAGAAGATAAAGATGCTGCTGAGAGGCACAACCTCCTCTTTTTAGGAGCATCTCCAGGCGCCCACGGCTGAGCCACTTCTTCCTCTAGTCCGTGGGCCCAGGCCTTGCTAGGCATCAGGTGACTGCTAGCATAGGGGTTTCTGACGAGTAAAGGGGGATAATTTTTCCTTTGGATAAGTGTAATTTATTAAAGAGACACACATGTCAAAACATGGGATTTCTTAGCCATGGGATGTTTGGAAGGGGAAAAGGTGAGGAACCACTGCTTATTGTGCCAGTGATGCCAACCTTATCCGTGACACCCTCCATGTAAACATTTCCAGGGACAGGAAGCTCACTGGCTCCGTGGGCTGGACTGCTCTGATTTCTTTTCTTTTTTTAAAAAAAATGAAACTGAAGAATTCTTTCTTTTTAAAAAAATATCTGTAGCCAAGTTCTCCAGCCAGGTTCAGTCACCAAGTTCTAGCCAGGTTCTCTTGCCCATTTCTGTAGTCAGGTTCAGTCCAGGATCTTTTGCCATGTTCTCTCCAGCGAAGTTCTTCTGTCTCTAGTTCTGTGTAGGTTCTGTGCCTAGGTTCTGTCTCTCTTGGTTCCGCATTCTAAGTTCTGTGTTCTAAGCTCTGTATTCTAAGTTCTGTGTTCTAAGTTCTGTGTTCTAAGTTCTGGGTCTTGCTGTCTTGTTGCATCTGTATTTATACCAGTTGATTCAATCCTATCAATCTCTATTACAAAGGTTAGGGCGTTTCTTCTCTTCATTCCAGGGAGTAAAGATTATGTAGCTTAAGCACGATTGTTCGTAGTTAAAGTGATTAATTACCCGCCTGGCACTTAGTTAAGAGGTTTTATTCCCTCCCTAACTTCAGGGGAAAATCCCTACCTGGGGAAACAACCTTTCTCAGAGAGGAGACCTTGGTTAAAACACTTTTATTGATTTTTTACAGAGAGGAATAGAGAGTTAGAAACATCAATGAGAGAGAAACATTGACCAGCTGCCTCCTACACACCTCCTACTGGGAATGTGCCCACAACCAAGGTACATTTGAACCAGGGACCTTTCAGTCCGCAGGCTAGCGCTCTATCCACTGAGCCAAACTGGTTAGGGCTGGATGCTCTGATTTCTTACGCTAACTCCGACTTCTGCCTCATCATTTATACTCATTGTTCTTCCCTTGGCTCTCTAGAGAAACACTTAGTGAGTCTTCTTCTCTCTTTGACGTGACCACCCTTCAACAGGAGAGGTAGCATCCGTGTCCGTGTGTCTCCTTTTCTCCAGCGGACACACACCACCTGCAGTGCTTCCCCAGAGCGATGGTTTCCAGATCCTTCTGCACCTGCTCATCCCCTTGTGAATGGACCGCAGACGTTTCCAGATGCCTCACACACTGCACACGCATGTTCGAGGAAAACCCCAGGGCCGGTCTGACGGCACAGAGGGGGCCCCAATCCCGCCCACGTGAGTTACTGGTGCAGCCGAGGAGGCTGGGGGCCGCGCTGGCAACCAGGGCAGCCCTGTGGTCCACACTGCACCCAGGAGCTGGTGAAAACCTGCAGATCTTCTCATGGGAAAAGTCACCAGTTTGTTTATCTGCCTCCGATCTCTCCCTCTGGAGGCAGGGTATCCACAGAACCCAACCTCACTGCTTTGACGTCGCACACCCACCTTTTGAAAAAGTTTTCTTTTGTGCCTGTGTTTAGCTCTCCCCCCGGTTTCATGACCAGCAGCACAAATTTAATGAGAAAGATACTGTGTGTGTTTTAACGTTACGTTCCAAGGATAACACCCGTGGCAATGAGCCTGTTTGGAGCCTGTCCCCCTGCACTCTGGTTTGTGTGTCAGGCTCCGACCCAGCAGGCGGGGTCAGGGAAGGTGCACGTCTCTTCGCCAGGCCCAGGGCGAGGCCGGCTTTGCCAGGGCTGCGGACAGTGACAGCCCGCCTCCGCCGGCCGCCCCGGCCAGGAACGTCTGAGTAATCTTGGACTCGTGTCTGTCCTGCCTCCTATTGCCTAATCCTGCCTAGCCTTCGTTAAAAACATCTCGCTCCTTCACTTTCTCTCACTTGTTCCTCCACACGTTTCTCCTGGGCCCACAGTGCTTGTGCCAGAGCCTGAGACTGGTCTCGCCAACACAGACTCCCGGATATTTACAAGCAATTCCCGAAGGGGTGCCAAGCCCCTGGGGGTGTCTCTCAGACTGCGCCCTGATAGGAGGACTAGGAGTTGGTCAAACCAGTCGCTGGAAGACTCACATTTCAAGCCAAGGAAACAAAGGAATGTCCACTGGTCAGCACTGGGATGTGAGCAGAGGGTGCCAGGCCTCCTCCTAAGGAAGGTTTAGGTTGGGCGGTGCCCTGACTGAAGACGCAGAGGCAGTGGAGGGAGGCAGCCACTGGGGGTGTGGGTGGGAAGCAGAGACGGAGAGACGTGGGTTCAGGGCCAGCAGAGGGAGCAAGGAAGGAAAGGGGGCAGCAGTGATTGGATGGAGGGAGGAGTTAAAAGGGGTGATGATGCCTTGAAAAGCATGCTCCTAGGAGAGGAACATTCTAGAAGCAGGTTAGGTGGTCGGAGAGCGAGGAGATGAGGACTAGGTTTAGGAGGGCCTTTGCTGTGAGGAGGTGGGTGGCTGAGGAGCCAGTTGCTCACTCCCGCCCCCACCGCCTCTGGGGCTCCTCAGTCCCCTCCCCTTTCTGCAGTCACGAGACCCTTTGCTCCTTTTCTCTGCCTGCCTCCTGCCTCAGGAGGATGCTGGACCAGGCGTCCACCCCAGAGGGTCTTCAGGAGGGGTTGAATACCCCCTACACCCCCTACCCTACCCCAAGCCCAGCATATTCACAGCTCACCAACTTTTGCATCTCAGTCACCTGGGTGAGTATGGAAGGGGCAAGTGAGAGCTGCCTGGGAACCAAGGAGTTCAAAATACTGGCCAAGGCCCGGGAAGGCACTGTTCATGTTAGGGCTTTGGGAGATGGGTAGGTCTGGACTAAGCAAAGAGGGTATTCAGTGAGAGAACCACGGGCTTCTCTGAAAACAGACCAATAATCAGGAGATTCCTTGATGAACATAGAATGACAGAAGTAAACGTTTGGGCATATTTTTAAGTAAGTTACATTGAAATATAATTATACCTAGACTACAAAATTCCCCCGTTTAAAGTGTACAATTCAGAGGTTTCTAGTATATTTGCAGAGCTGTGCAACCATCACCAATCATTTCACTAGAACATCTTCATCGTCCCGTGAAGAAACTCCATACCATTGGCAATCACTCCCATTCCCCCTCCCTCCAACCCCTGGCACCACTCATCTACTTTCTGTCTATGGATTTGCCTATTCTAGACATTTCACTTAAATGGATTTATACCTATGTGGCCTTTATGACTGGCATCCTTCACTTAGTGTAATCTTTTTTAAAATATATACTTTTACTTATTTCAGAGAGGAAGGAAGAGGGAGAGAGAGATAGAAACATCAATGTTGAGAGAGAATTATTGGTCAGCTGCCTCCTGCACACCCCCTCCTGGGGATCGAGCCCACAACCTGGGCATGTGCCCTTGACCGGAATCGAATCCGGGACCCTTCAGTCCAATGTTCTATCCACTGAGCCAAACCAGCTAGGGCAGTATAATCTTTTTAAGATTCACCCATGTTGTAGAAATATTTCATTTCTTTATAGGACTAAACAATACTCTGTTATATAAATGTACCATATTTTGTTTATTCATTCATCAGTTGATGGACATTTGGGGTTTTTCCAATTTTTGGTTATTATAAATAATATTATCCTGCTTTGAACATTCATGTAAAAGTTTTTGTGTGGACATGTTTCTAATTCTCCTGGCTACATACCCAGGAATGGCATTGCTGGGTCACATGGTAACTCTATGTTTAACATTTTGAGGAACTGCCAATCTGTTTTCTTTTTTAAAAAATATATTTTTATTGATTGATTTCAGAGAAGAAGGGAGAGGGAGAGAGAGATAAAAACATCAATGAGGAGAGAAAATCATTGATTGGCTGCCTCCTGCATGCCCCCTACTAGGGATCAAGCCCACAACCCAAGCACGTGCCCTGACTAGGAATAGAACCATGACCTCCTGGTTCATAGGTTGACACTCAACCACTGAGCCACACCGGCCGAGCCCAATCTGTTTTCCAACATTGCTTCAGCATTTTACAATCCATCAGGAATGTACAGATTCCCATTTCTCCATCTCTTTGACAACGTTTGCTATTATCTGCCTTTTTTACTTTAGGCATCTTGGTGGGTACGAAGTGGTATTTCATTGTGGTTTGGTTTGCATTTCCCCAATGACTAGTGAAGTTGAGCATCTATGTGTGTTTGATAATTTGTGTGTGTCTTTGGAGAATGTCTATTTAAATCTTCTGCCCACTTTTTAAATGAGTTATTTGTCTTTTTATTGTTGAATTGTTATAGTTCTTCATATATTCTGGACACAAGTCCCTTATCATATACATGCTTTCTCCCAATCTGTGGGTTGTCTTTTCATTTTCTTGATGGCGTCCTTTGAAGCACAAAAGTTTTTAATTTTGATGAAGACCAATTTATCTAAGTTTTCTTTTGTAACTTGTGCTTCCGGTGTCATTTCTAAGAAACCATTGCCTAATCCAAAATCACAAAGATTATACATGTGCTTTTAATAAGATTTTTATGATTTTTAGCTCTTACATTCTCTATGACCATTTGGGGTTAATTTTTGCAAATGGGATGAGGTAGGCGTCCAACTTCATTCTTTTGCATGTGGAAATTCAGTTGTCCCAGAACCTTTTGGTAAAAAGACTTTCTTCCCTTTCCCACTGCCCCACTTAGTTGTCCGGGCACCCTTGCCAAAAACCCATTGAACATAAATGGGAGGCCTATGTCTGGACTCAGTCTATTCCATTGTTGGCTGTATTTTCTAAGGGTTTTTTTTCTCCAGCTGTGCTACCAGGTGGCCCATCCTTCCCTAGAAGAGAGATGGAGCGATCTCTTAAGCAGACTGCATTTCCTGGGTCCGTCAGGCCTCATCACAGTTAGATCCTCCTGCGGGATCCAGGCCTCCTCCATTGTTTTGCTAGCAGCTGGGCGGTAGCTGACCAAACGAAGGACCTTATCTCTCTCCTGCCTCGTAAGGTTATTGTAAATATCAAATTAGATTACTTACACAAAAGAATTTAGAAAGGTCTGAAGTGCCATCCAAATGTAAGGTGTACTAGTATTCTTCTCATTACTGTGCCTCTCCATCAGGAATAAGACCTAAATATAGAGAAGTTACTTTCAACTTTCACTCATCGGGATCAAGGTTGTGATATCTGTTTTGTTGCAAATTCCAAATGAGTGTGGTTTGGTGCGTCATGTCATCTTGAGGAGGCTGTGAGCTTGCCTTTGCCACCGGGAGATTGAATATCAATGTTAGCCATCCCTTCCTTCCACTTCCCCTTCCTTGAATGAGTGCCTCGTTTGTGCTGAGCACTGTGCTAAGCTCACAAGCAGACACAACCTCTATCCTCCTGAACTCACAGTTTAGCAGGGAAGCTGTATAATTCAACAGCCATTATGGCCAATGTGACCGTGACAGAGATGCAGGGTGACCCTCCAACCAGCCCTGGTATCAGTTCGCTCCAGGTAAACCAGGGGGTTTAGAGTATCTTCCAACCTCAAATTGCCTTTCTCCTATGAGGTCTCACGGAGGCAGAGGCTGTCCCATGCTGAACTCGGGCCCTAACCCAGATGTCCTGTAGCCACTGTCACGATGCCACACCGTGAGCCTGAGAATGGGCCGGCAGGACCGAACATGGGCTCCACCATCCTCCCAGACTCAGTTCTCAGGAGCCCTTCAGAGGCGGGGCCCCAGCTGAAACCTCCTCCATCTGCCTTCTGCAGCGTTTCTTTGCTGATAGTAGAGAAGGGCTCCCTGGTTACAAGCGGAACCTCAGACTCTTCTTCCTCTCTACCCATTCCCCCAGCCCTGGCCCCCCAGGACCACTCCCCCAAGGCCTGAAGGGGTGCCACTCTCAAAATCCCTCCCTCCAACCTCCACCGGTGGACAGACTGCTCCCTCCCAAAAGACAGAAGTTCACGTGCATGGATGACCCTTGGCCTTAAAGCCTGGAAAACCAAGCTGCCAGGACCACCGGAGAGCTGGGTGGCTCCAAGGAGGAGAGCCCAGGCCACTGCCTCACCCTCAGCCTGGCCCTCACCCTCACTAGGGCCACTCTGATCACGGGTGTCCACTGGCCAGCACTGAAGTACACTGTTGTCCCTTGGTGAGAGGAAAAGCCACAGGACCCCAGCTTTCCTCCTCCCTTCCTCCTCTCTCCCCTCCACTGTGGTTACTGGCAACACCCTGCCTTCCCCACTCCTGGAGCTGGGGCAGCCCTTTCCTCTTTCGCCCACCTTCCTCCCCACTCCTGCCCCCGTCCGCTACACACTTCTCCCTGGTACCATGTCACCTGACAACTCAGTATGACCTCGGGTCTACTCAAGTCGCACAGCCTCCTGCACACACTCCCTACGCCGAGCTGAGCGGGACACGTGAGCCCGTGTGTCCCTCCGAGCCCCAGGCTCCATACCACCTACAGACACCCAGGAGTCAGGAGACTCCAGAGGCCCCAAGCAGCGAATGGGTTGGGGACTCCAAGCAGGTGACGCTGGCCCCTCTGCCCAGCCTCTACTTCTTTCACAGAACCCTCCACATCCTTGGGGAGTCTGCTGGGGTGTAGGGTCCTCCGACCTCTGGGGACAGACACCATGGTGCTAAGGAGTTAGGGGAGGCCCCCCCAACCTCCACTACCACCTCAAAAGGATGCCACTCTCCTCCCTTCCCCAATGCTTGTCACTTAAAGGGACATGTGGATGAGACAGGGAAAGACTGGTGTGGAGTGTGGTAACGAGGTGACTTGGTTTTTTCAACTGTCAAGCCAAGGGCTGTTCTCTCGCTAGGCTCCTCTTTGTAGCTGTCAAAGGCTGCCTCTGGGGGGCTGCTTCCGCAGGAACGACCGGCAGCTGTGTCCCCAATAGGAAGAGGCAGGTGTGCCAGCACCCCTGTGCCTCTCTGCCCCCCTCCCAGGACAGCCCCCCATTCTTCCCCCCTTTCCCACCAGCCCCCCACCCAGTCCCCAGGTGTGTGTGTGTTGGGGCGGGCGGGGGCAGGGGAGGGGGGTGTCTGAACATCTTTGCAGCACCCCAGGTGCCCGCCAAAGCCGACACTCCCCCCCCCCACCCACATGGACCACACACGCACACGCGCGCGCACACACACACACACACACACACACACACACACACACACACGGCCTCCTGAAGGAGGCAGCGGGGTGCCTGCTCATTAACCTGTGCCTGCTGCGCCCACCTTGTGTGTCACTCTGGAGTCCCGGAGGCCTGGGCTGTTAGGCCGGGAGGCTGAGCGGCAGAGACCGCGGGGCCGGGACTCGCACCGAAGCGGTGAGTCTGTGTGATGGGCAGGAGGAGGGAGCCCGGTGGGCAGGCTGGGGTGTCCCAGCAAACTGCTGGGTCCCTCCTCCTCAGAGGTGTGCGTGTGGGGGGCAGCGGGGCCTGGCGAGCTTCCTCGGCCAGAGTCTGACCTAAGCCCCCTCCGCACCCGCGGGCTGGGCCGCCCGGGCCCCTCCCCGGGCCGGCGCCCCTGCCCGGGCGGGCCCAGAAGCGCCGGTCCCCGCCCCGCTCCGTTAGGCCCGCGCGGCCGGGCGCTGGGAGCCGAGGAGGAAGCGCGGCGGGGCGGGGAGGTGGGGGTGTGTCGGAAGGCGGCGGCCGCCGGGTTTTATAATCCGCAGAGCCGGCGCGGCGCGGGAGACGGGGCAGCACCGCGCACCGCGCACCGCGCCATGGGGGCCGCGTCGGGCCGCCGGGGGCCGGGGCCGCCGCCGCTCCTGTCGCCGCTCCTGCTGCTGCTCCTGCCGCTGCCGCCGCCGCCCTCCGCGCTGGCGCTCGCCCCCGAGATGCAGCCCGGAGACTTCTCCGCCGACGAGGCTGGGGCGCAGCTCTTCGTGCAGAGCTTCAACCCCAAGGCCGAGCAGGTGCTGTACCAGAGCTCGGTGGCCAGCTGGGCGCACGACACCAACATCACCGACGAGAACGCGCGGCGCCAGGTGGGCGCGGGGCCGGGCGGGGGCGGGGCGGGGCCCGGGCGCCCAATCACAGGCCCGCGGCGGGCAGGGGGGGCCGGGGGTTGGGGGAGTCACCGCGGGGGGCGCGCCCCCGGGCCCCGGGCCCCGGGCCCTCCGGCCTCCCCCACGCCCCCCACTCCCACCCGCCCATCAGACAGGAGGTGGGCGGCCGAGCGCGGTGCCGGGCGCATGGTCCGCGCCCTCCAAGAGCGGGATGGACGAGGCTGGCTCCACGGAGACCCAGTCCCCGCACAGGGCAGCGCCGGGCGGGCCAGCAGCTGAGGGTTTGGGCTAAGGGTGCCCTCTGCTCCGAGCCCTCCTTCTCTTTCTGTCGCCGCTCATCCCTGTCTGTTCTCCCTCTCCTCCCGCTGCCTCT